ATGTAAGTGTCTCCACTTTTGAACATGTCCCTTGTAAAGTATACCTTCTTTACTGGCTGTTCAGTAGAACGCGATGTCTTTGAACTGTACTGCCGCTTGTGTAAACGATAGTATACCATACACAGATTCCAACCAAACGTCGTTCTGTTCTCATGGTTGTGCCCATTTTGGTCGTGGGACACGCGCCTGGTTCTGCGAGAGTATTTAGAGGATTAAGCCCAAGATCCTCCGTTTGAAGCGACCACACTTCACTCTTACATAGGTGATTCTTTAAGAGTATCCCGATTACTCTCCTTAGACCACCGTGTCTATTGGTTAAGAATCATTAAAGCATATTTATATGCTAACCTCATCCTTTTCGGGAGTCACTGTCTTCAGTAGGAACAGAAGGGTCTGACCGAAGGTTCCGGTAGCGTCCCCCACAGTGACCACGCTTTATCCTACAAGTAGGTTGTCCCATTGAACCTGGGTACCAGCCAGGTTGGGTTTTCCTTCATAGGACTGTCCTAGCACAAGGGCTTCAAATCCATTCCTGCCACCAACTTCTCATGCAACTCATTTGTTAACCCTTTGGTTAGCGGATCCACCAAATTATCTTTTGACTTCACATAGTCAATCGTGATAATCCCAGTTTTGAGAAGTTGTCTAATGGTTTTGTGTCTACGACGAATATGTCTAGACTTACCATTATACATATTACTCTTTGCACGTCCTATTGCTGATTGACAATCACAATAGATGCAAACTGGTGGGACTGGTTTATCCCATCTTGGAATATCCTCTAGGAAGTGGCGTAGCCATTCAGCTTCCTCTCCACATTTGTCTAAAGCTATAAACTCAGACTCCATGGTGGACCTAGAAATCACTGTTTGCTTTGAGGATTTCCAAGATATTGCTTCACCTGCTAGCGTAAAGACAGATCCACTTGTGGACTTCAAGTCTTTACTATCAGATATCCAATTCGCATCCGAGTATCCTTCCAGTACCGGTGGATATCTCGAGTAGCATAATCCATAGTCACGTGTATACCGCAGGTATCTCATCACACGTACAATAGCCTTCCAGTGCTCATCACTCGAATTGCTGGTGTGTTTACTCAGCTTACTTATGGCACAAGCTAAATCTGGTCGAGTGCAACTCATTAGATATATCAAACTTCCAATAACTCTCGCATACTCGATTTGAGAGTTACTGGAACCTCGGTTTTTAGCCAGGTGTGCATTGACGTCCAACGACGTCTTTGCTACTCTAACGTCATCCTTGTTGAACTTGTCAAGGATTTTATCAATCTAATGGGATTGGCTCAGTGCTAGACCCTCAGGTCTTCTCACAATTTTAATTCCAAGAATTACTTCAGCCAGACCCATATCTTTCATGTCAAATCGCGAGTTTAACATGTCTTTGGTAGACTTGACCATCTTGTCATCGCTACCAACTATGAGTATGTCGTCTACATATAGACACAACATGACATACCCTTGGGATGTGTTTTTTAGATAAACACACTTGTCTAATTCATTAATTTTGAACCCAGAGTTCATCATTACGTGGTCAAACTTCTCATGCCATACTTTTGGCGCCTGTTTAAGACCATATAATGACTTAACGAGTTTACATACTTTCCTTTCTTGACCAGGAACTATAAACCCTTCTGGTTGTTCCATGTAGATCTCTTCTTCTAGATCTCCATTAAGGAAAGCTGTTTTCACATCCATTTGATGAACTTCTAAGTTTCGCAAGGAAGCTATTGCAAGTATCATCCTAATGGAATTTATCCTTGACACAGGGGCATATGTGTCAAAATAATCCAAGCCCTCACGTTGATTGTAACCCTTAATTACAAGTCTGGCTTTGTACTTATCAATGGAACCATCTGGTTTCATTTTCCTCCGAAAGATCCACTTAGAACCTAACGGTTTGCATCCTGGAGGTAGATTCACTAACTCCCAAGTGTGATTCTGCATAATAGAATCTACTTCACTTTTAATTGCCTCTTTCCACTGAGGTCCTTCAGACGAAGTCACTGCTTCACGATAAGTTCGTGGTTCATTTTCTAATAAACATGTTAGAATATCGGGTTCAGTCTCTATCCGAAACGATAGAGTCTTCGATTCAAATTCCAACAAATAAGTTAGAAAATCATTACCAAAAGACTTCCTAGTCCGTGTCCTTTTACTCCGTCTTAGTTCAGTCTCAGTTTCGGTTTCATCAATTATACTGGTATTAGACTGATCCGAGGAACCATCTTTCAACATTTCATCATGTGAACGTTTGGATGAACTTGCTTCTTCCCTCGACTTTAATGAAAATATATTTTCGAAGAATGTTGCATTCCTTGATTCCATTATCGTGTTCTTATGTATTTCTGGATTATCAGATCTATACACTAAGAATCGATACGCGCTACCACTGTAGCCAATAAAGATTCCATCAACGGTCTTTGGACCAATCTTTATTTTCTTTGGTGGTGGTGTTAAAACTTTTGCAAGGCACCCCCACACTTTCAGGTATTTATAGGAAGGTTTCCTATTATACCACAACTCGTAAGGAGTCTTATCGAGTTTCTTTCGGGGTATTTTATTTAACAAATAATTACTAGATAAAATAGCCTCCCCACATATTTTGGGGTAGCCCCGAACTAAGCAACATCGCATTCATCATATCTTTGAGAGTGCGATTTTTCCGTTCCGCCACACCGTTTGATTGGGGTGTGTATGGCGGAGTTACCTGATGCACAATTCCATGTTGTGCACACAATTCGGCGAATGGAGCTTCGTACTCCCTGCCCCTATCACTCCTAATCGCTTTAATTTTGCGATTGAGTTGATTTTCTACTTCATTCTTATACCAAACGAAAGTGTCCAACGCCTCATCTTTACTTTTAAGTAAATAAATATAGCTGTACTTCGTGCTATCATCGACAAAAGTGATAACATATTTGTTACCACCTCTTGAAGGCGTTGCTTTGAAATCACACAGATCCGTGTGAATTAAATCCAGTGGCTGAGTGGTTCGTTCAATTGTTTGAAACAAACTTCGCGTTGACTTTGCTTCGACACACGTCTCACATTTGTGGGACTGGTCAATGTCAAACTTAGGGATATATTCCATGTTAATTAATTTCCGAAGAGATGCATAATTAACATGTCCTAGTCTTCCATGCCACACATTGGAGGACTCACAAACATAGGCAACAAGAGTTTTATTAATTTTCTCAACAACAGTGAGTACATTAAGCTTAAAAAGCCCATCAGAAATATAGCCTTTGCCTATGAATATTCCCTTTTTGCTCAAGATCAGCTTATCAGACTCGAACACCATGCGGAATCCATGTTTGTTCAATAGTGAGTCTGACACCAAGTTTTTCCGTATGTCCGGAACATACAACACATCATTCAGCGTGAGCTCCTTGCCGGATGTCATCTTGAGCTTAACTTTGCCCACGCCTTGAACCTCGGATTGGGCGGAGTTGCCCATCCACACCTTGTCGCCAGAAGTCTCCTTAAAGTCAAAGAGCATGGCCCGATTGGAGAAGATATGACGAGTGGCTCCGGTGTCAACCCACCACTCTTTCGGGTTAGACCTGACCAGGTTGACCTTTGTTACGACAACACAAAGAACCATAGCATCTAGCTCCGAGCAGAGAGCTTCTTCCTTCTTCTGCTTCTTCTTCTGAGGCTTCTTGCGGCACTGTGAAGAACGGTGGCCCGTAATGCCACAGTTGTAGCATTTCCCCGCGAACTTAGTCTTCGCGACGCCTCCTTTAGGACCAATTTTCTTTTTGTCCTTATTTGGCTTGGGCCCTTTGGAAGAACCCTCTTTGGGTGGATGCTCCACCACATTGGCCTTAGCAACAGCTACTTTCTTCTCGCGAGTGAGACCCTCTTCACGGATCCAGAGACGAACAAGCAACTGTTCTAAAGTCATCTCTTTCCGTTTGAGCTTGAGATAGCTCCGGAACTTATCCCAAGTCGGCGGGAGCACATGAATAATCGCCGCCACTTGGAATGCCTCACTGACTCCCATTCCCTCGTCAGTGCACTCATTAAAAATGAGGATCAGTTCTTCAGCTTGACTAACCACGGGTTTGGAATCCACCATCTTAAAATCCAAAACCTTACCGACAACGAATTTCTTCACACTGGCGTCGTTAGCTTGGTATTTGTTGGACAATGTAGTCCATAACTCCTTTGCGGATGCAGCCCTTCTATAAACAACATATAAGGCATCGCTCAAGCAAATCAGGATAAGGTTAAGGCACGTATAGTTATTCGCTATCCATGCCTCTTTAGCCTGAACTGTTGGCTCGTCCTCGTTCTCCCCCACAACAGGGGGATCCTCCCTCAAATACCTCGCAAGGTTGAGGGTGGTCAGCCAAAATAACATCCTTTGCTGCCATATTTTAAAGCCAACACCTGTGAACTTTTCCGGTTCTTTGATAGAGTTCGCAGGCAGCATGACAGTAGGATGTCCGACCGGTGCGGATGTGAAAACACCCGTGTTCGGTCCAAGTGAGGGAATGACCAGTATGGCCGAAGCCATATTCGGTCCGAGTGGGGTGACCATTGCGGCCGTAGCCGCGGTTGGTCCAATAACCGAGGTGACCGGAGCGGACCCCATAGTCGCGCTTGATCCAACGAAGGTGGTGATCGGAGTGGACCCCATGGCCGCACTCGATCCGAAAGAAATGTTGATCGGAGTGGTCTACCCTACAGAGCCACCCAATCCAGCCGAAACGTTCACAACCGGAGTCTCGGAACTACTCCCGTTTCCGGTGTGAGCGTCAAAACCGAATCCGTCCATACCCGCCGTCGTGCACGAATATGACTACTACCTTAAGATTGTTACAATTCTTGTACGGATTACAACGGACGGGGAAGATGAACGGCCCCGGAAATAATAAAAAAATAATTCTGAATTTATAATTTATTCAGAATATTACAAAAAACAAAGTTTGAAAAAAAATTTCTATATCTTCAAACGGCCTTATAGTACGAGGACATTAAGCACTGGACAGCGAGGTCTTTAAGCACTGGACAGCAATTCAAGGACGTTATGCACAGGGCTGCGAGGACATTATGCACTGGGCTGCGAGGACATTACGCACTAGGACAGAATGCAGCGAGGTCTTTATGAACTAATCCTGCAAAGAAAACACCACGAAAGGACAGCGGAGTCGCCGGAGCTGTCCTTAAGGTAGTAGTGCCCGCCTACCGTACCGGAAAAACGTGGGCACTCTCCTCCCAGGATAAAACCGCTATCGTGTGTGGAGATTGTACGGACCAACCACACACCAACGAACAAGAACAACGTAGGAACGTTGATGACCAAAAACTTTAAGGGAGATGGCCGGAAATTTGGCTAGAAAATCAACAGCTCTCTCTAAAAGAAAATTTTTTCTTTTCTTTCTCTCTTACTCACGCAAGGCACACACAAAAAATGGAGAGAGACCCATTGATTTTATAACTAAGGAGTTTAAAATGTGTAACTCCTACACCATTAACCCTTAGTATTAATCATGGCATTTGTGGCATACTAATGGTGTGTTAATGGTGATTAATTAGCCATTAACACGTCTGTTACGCTACGCTCCGTTTAAAATTTGTCCCGAATAATTGGAGATTAATGGCCAGTTAACTCCGCAAAAATGGACTAATTTTAAACAATACGTAAAATTAATAAAAGAAGATTGGTTCAGTAAAATTGCAAAAATTGCAATCCTTACCATATTCTTTTATTAAAGGGTTAACTCTGAGAATCAATTTCTCATTCACCCTCTACCATTTTTGGCGTATAAATTGTCAAAACATTTATCTCATTTAAGAGAACACACGTCCATTAATTAACGGTTAAAACCGTTAGTGGGCCTATTGACAAATATACCCAAGTCCATTTAATGCCTATTAAAAATGCCAAAAATTCCAACAATTCCTTGTTCCGATCTTCAGGAGAAATTTGAAGAGCATCACTTGAAAGATAAGCTCTTGCCTGGAACTATTGACCGTAAAGACATGCTCATTCTCTATGGACTTTACAAACAAGCAAAGATTGGAAATGTGAACACAGGTGATAACATTGTGTGAACCAAATTTAATTCATTCTCATATTCTTTTTTCTTGCTGATAATTTTTTTTTGTTTTGTTTTAAATAACAGATCGTCCAGTACTCAGTAATGGGATGGACATAGCAATGTGGGATGCGTGGAAGGCTTTTGAAGGTATGGGAATATGGAATCTAGGATGCCGAAATCTCCCTCGAGGAACAAGTTGAAAATTCTTTCTACAATTCATCCTTGATAAAGGAATGCCTTTTTGTTTAATGCAGGATGTTAGACACAATATATAATTTATATTAATTCTGGGTCATTATGTAATTTGTCTTATAGTTAGATCTATATATATTCTGTAACTCTTTTCACTATAGTTTGGGGTTCAATTACAATTCCCAATATGGTATCAGAGCAAGGGTTCCTCAAACTCGGGTTCCTCAAACTCTAACTCTTTCGTCTTCCTCTTTTGAGCAGTGTTCCAGAACGCACATATATAATACACAGTGCATACAGAGGCAAGGAACAAGCTAGAACTAACAATGGAAATGTAAAGCAATCATAGAGCCCCAAAGCATACAAGGCAATAACAAATGCAAGGAATTATTTTTTAGCCTAATGCATGTAGCAAACTACATTAATCCTAGATCTCCAAATTAAATACTTCTATCTAAAGCTCTGTTAGCTTATTCTGATACGGGTATAATATGTTTATTCGTATGTTTGTGTCTTATTATACGTTTTATACATTCAGAGTACATATACAGATGCGTTCGCGTTTTATAGTTTGATTTTTAAAAATTATGTCTTATAATGAGTGAAAATATTTTAATAAGAAAGAAAGTTTAAACATTGAAATTGAATACAAATACACTATAAAATTTTTAAAAAATCAACCAATATTAACATTTATTATTTATTATTTATTTTTTCGATATGTATCCAAAGGATATCTTTCAATAAACTATTATTGTGTACTTCCAAAAAGATATAAGAACACATTGTTAAAATTGAAGTTAAAATTTAGACATGAATGGAGCATTTGCTCAAACATGCGACAACACATTTTTAGCTACAACCGCTGTTTGTCGTTGCAAATTGAAGAATAGCGATGAAACATGTGCAACAAATATTTACCGTAGCAAATCCATCGCAGTTCTTCAATCTGCTACAAAAAAGCTCTTTTGTGACAAAACTTTTCTGTCGTAGCAATTCAGGATTTTTTTGTAGTATCCATATAATATTAGATAATATGAGTTTTACGAAATTAAATAAATGTTCATAACAAATATTAAAGGAAGATTGAAGTCTCTTTGCAATATAAATATGAACTCACCATATTATCTTTTATGCAATTTAAATTTGATTAAAATGAAATTTAACTTTCTATTTTTCATTTTTAGAATGAAAAATACATGTACAAACTTGTATTTTTAGAATTCAGATCACACAAATGTAATTAAATTTGTATTTCTAATCATCGATAAATATTTAACCACGAGTACTAAATATAAAAAAATGATTACATTTGAAAAAACTAAACAAATAGAGATAATGTGGTTGCCTATTATTTGCTAGAGTTGTAGGAGTGTTGGATTCCCAACTAGATGGAGTCAAAGAGACTCGTAGACTATGAATGATATTTAATGAACAAATGATGTTGGAGAATGACTTGAACTACATTCTGGTATCTAATACTTTTACAATTGCTGAGTCGCAAAATTCTAAAGAATTGTATTTTTTGGAGAAAAAAAATCAAGTAAATTGATTGGATAAAAAAGTTGACATAAGTTTTGATTATTGGAGTTGAAAGAAGAGGATTTTTAGGATTTAATACGTATAAAATTCTTTAATATGTTTGGGGTCAAAAATACATTTATTATATGTTTGTCACTTGAGAAATTCGTATTCGTAAGTATAATACGCGTATCATACGTACGGGGGTATAATACGATACGCATATCATACATGAATAAGCTAACAAATATCTAAAGTTATATATAATTAGTGAGGGAAAAATATCCCAAGTAATGTCTTATCAATTTTTTCCAATTCTTCATAATTCTATCACTTCTCCCACAAACGTAAGCCCGGCCTCTGGCATCTTCACAGCAGGGCGTTGGCGTTCTACCAATTCACATGTCCAGACACCCTCAACTATGTTTCCCACGGCTAATCTTCTCGAACTCCAACTTATAAAAAAACAACAAATCTATCATCCCCCTAACCAATTGTTGTTGAAACCACTGCCAATTGTTGTTACAGTCGATGATTTGCTCAGATTTCTTCTGTCTCACAACATGTATTTCACCGCCAACTTGAATCGGAGAGCACTCAGTTAAAAAAGAAGAAAAAAAAGAGAGCAGATTCAACTCATCGTTGGCTAAGATCGAAAAAGATTAGGGAGTATATTTTTGGATCAGATCACAGTCCATTCGTCAACTTATAGTTGTACCACCCCACTTGTGGTAATTCATCACTATTCCCTCTTACAAGAAAAGAAATTCCTAGCAGCAGTAACCGTCCCATTTTTGGGAGTCCGATTCCAATTTAGTAGTTGACACAAAGTGGAGTTGACAAGCTTGGGAATCCGGTGGAGTTGTATTGCGATTTCGACTGCAACAAAAAAATAGTGCGCCCAATTTTATTATTTGTGGCCAGGATCATCAAACTGGTCTTCTCTGTAGCTTTGAGCCCACCCAGTCACGAATCCTCTTCCGACTCTGATATTCCGGTCATCCAGATAACTATGGCCTTGGGTTTTGATGATATTATCGTAAGTCGTAACGATGAACTATGCATTGGACAAACTTCTTGACTTGTTAGAGACGGTTCTTTATGGCAAAATTTAGGATGACAATGGAGCATGTGCACTTTGTGATCACATAGATGAAACTATGAAGAAGTTCCAATCATGCCAATTGATTATAGGTCAACCAAATTTTGATACTGCCCCTTTATGAGTTCGATATAGAAATTTCTTGTTTAGTACAGGACTTGGTTCGGAGTTCCCCAATTGCACTTAGTTAGATTCCTTGGGAATTACTAACTTTTAGAACAAGCATTTGTTTTGAGAAGACACCAAAGAAGGTTATAGACACATTTGTTCACATGGTGGAAGACACCACCACACTACCTATTACGACTATGGAGGATGCAATTGGATCAAAGAAATTCAGCATTGGATCACGTGGTGAAGATGAGGCGAGCAGTGTATTTGAAGCCATAAATGAACGGGAAGCCCAACACCGTGAAAGTAATTGATGATGATCGTAAGCATGTAGATGTTGCTAAGAACTACAAGCCAAATCCTACTTTTCAGGATATGAATACCTTGATTCATGTGGTCATTGCAGAGTATAAAGTTTCAAGATGTGAAGACAAGGTAGTAGATGAAGAGTTTCCTAAAGTTGACAACTCAATTTTAATGGATACGCTCAAGCTGTTTGACCTTGATGATACTAAAAAGTTTGAATACCTAGCTCCCTTGCGGGTAGTCCGCCACCTGTTTGGTTTTGCCTCAAATGTCCTCCGTTACGCTTCAAATGTCATGATTTTTAACGATGGATCACCCGGATGGAGATCTTCTTTGGTTCAACTCTTTCCCTTTTGTCCAGAAACACGAGTGGAAACCTCCACCTTGAGGACAAGGTGGCTTTCTAAGGGAGTGGAAATTATACAAAAGATGAATTATATTATTTAATTAGTTATTTATTAATTAGTAGTATTATATAGGTACTCATAATTAAGTTTTAGTATGTGCACAAGCCCATAGGTTAATTAGGGTTTTTCATATTTCTATATATTGTACTCCCGTATCAATATTATTCAATCAATAAAGAATATTCAGAACTCCAATCTCTCCTCCCTCATTTCTTGGAGCTCGGAAACGCTCGAAGTTTTCCATCTTTCTCTACATCTTCTTCTTGGAGCTTGAAGAGCGCTCGAAGTTTTTCCCCATCTGATACGATATTCGGATCAGTACAAGCTAATGATTAGTAATGTAAATGCATTTTAACTCTTATTTCGATAATAAAAACATAAAACTTCTATTTCGGTTTATTTTTATTGTTTTACTGCTACTTTAGTCTTTTTCTCTTTTTTTTAAGTGTTCATTTTGCACATCTTTTTATTCTTGACTTGTTAGAGCTAGATTGAGAGACAGATTTCTACATATATGCTAAAAACATTTGTTGAGTTTTTCCAAAAATGATACTCCTCCGTCTAACAATAATATTCCCGTTACGTGTTACGGTATTTGACTAAAATTATTTTCAAATCATTTATATGAAAAATCATATGGAATTGAAAAATAAAAATTACTTAAAAACTATTTAAAACATCTACAAAACTAGAGATTACATGACTATATTATTTTATCAAATGGGCAACGAAAATGCACCACCAAAGTAAACAAATTTTGATCATGTAAATAGAAAACAGAAATGTTATTGTTGGATGGAGAGAATATACACTCATATATCTATAGGATATACATTGTAATATTTAAAAAAAAGTGCATATATCCTACACCCACCAGCTCGTATTCCTTCATATTTATGAGGTGGTGAAGAAGGCTTGTTATTTAAATTCCCATACTTTCAAAGGTAGAAGAGATGGCCTTAAAATTCTTAGTTGTAGCAACCGTCAGCGAACAGCCGAATCAAATTCTCAGTGCAAAAGAACGAATAGTGAACATTTTAAAAATAAGGGTAACATAGAATGACCAAACCACGGGACGAACAGTTTTTGGAGCTCACAAATCAGCTATAAGCCCTAACAAATACACTACAAAACATACTCCTGAATTTACGCAAACTTTAGTATCTAACATGAATAGCACTTTTATGAGCATCAATTCAGCTACGTTCTTGACCTTATGGCTGCAGACAAGATCTATAGAGTTGCTTACAGCCCAATACTGGTAAACCAAGAAAACAAATGTGAGAGAAACCATGGGAAGTGAGGTACAAGAAATTAACTAAAAGATATTAGGCATGGTTGGAGGTTTCTTGCCCAGGGTTGCCTCCCAAACCAATGGCATGGATGGTCCTTTCTTGCGCAGGTACTCCTGAACAGATTTCACATCAAGATAAAAACCCTTCTGCTTCAGGGTCTGGATCATGTTCTTGGCATCTTCCAGCCCTTTCTCCTTACAGAACCCATCAACCAAAGCAATGAAGGTTGCTAAGTTGGGTGAATGTCCTCCCTCGAGCATTTCAAGACAGATCCCAAATGCTTCTTCTGATCTCGTCCCTTGACAGAGTCCCTGAATCAGAACGCTAAAAGTGAAGGCATTAGGAGCTATGGCATTGCTTTGCATTTTACGGAAGACGCTCACAGCCTCATCATGTTTATAAGCCTCGCAGAAAGCCTGAATTACAGCAGTGTATATCACTACTTCTGGAAGGCTACCCTTTTCACGCATATATCCAAAGAGCTTCAAGGCCTCTTGGACCAACCCATCCTTGCACAACCCATCCAGCATTGCTACAGCATTTGGAATCAAGCCATTTTCTTTCATTTTCTTAAATAACTCATCTGGGTCTTGCAGTGGTTGAGGGGACACCTCGGCAGCAGAAGCGTCAGTCTTTTCTTCTTTGGGAGGAAGACCCTGGTCAGTTTTTTTATGGTCAGATTCAAGCTGAAATCTCTGGAGAAAATCTTCACCCCCACTAGCCTGCGGAATCTGGTTTTTATTTTGTCCTTCAGGCCAGTCGACACTAATAAAAGGCCTTGATTGAGATTTTTCCTGGGGAACATAGGATGGTCTTCCAGAGTCATCTCTCAACGGCCTGTTAGGTATAGGTTCAGGAGGAGAAATTTTTGACTGAGTGCTACTTATGATGGGAGAACTCTTGTGGCCATCATCAATTTTAACATAACTACACATTGAGCGCAGTTTGAAGAGCTGAGCACAGCATAATGACTCATCCCCATTTGCATTAAGCACCAAGGTAAGATTGTGTTTACATTTAGAGTAAACATTGCCGCCTTTCATTCTCAGCAAAGCTGCCATGTCTATTACCTGCAAAGTGTTGGCCACTATCCAAGCTATGAAATCTTTGGACAAAAAACAGAAAGATTAAATAACATGCGTGCCCAACTCAACCATGTAACGGAAATTGCTATTGCATTCACCTAAAAAATAATAGCTCTGCAAAGTTTAAAAATGAAAATATTCTTCTAAATCTGTGAGTGCTTCTTTAGCCTGCACCAAAACCAGAATGAACAAAAGTATATCTGAGAGCATAGAAGCATGATATTCAATAAGTAGATTCATTTCAAACAAAATATTAGTTGCAACTTTGGCATCGCAACAAAAAATGGCTTTTAGACATAATACGCCTAAAATCAACTCAATTGATTCAGACTTGAAACTCTATATCTGGAAAATGGAAATTTGGGTTAACCTTATGATTTATTTCACAGAATCCATTGCTTGGATTGCAATCAAAATACAAGAAATATAGTAACTATTCGATCGCGCATTCAACAACGGTATAACCCTAACAAAACATAAAACGAAATTCCGGATGAATTTTTCGCTATAACCCGGTAATTGTGAAAATAAAACGAAATAAAAATCCGAATTCACCTGAAGAAGTCGGAAAAGTTTGAAGTACCGTCAATCGCGATTCTTACCAGTTTCATCCAGGCATAATATCATGCAGATGGTGGAGTGTATGGTGAAAGTGTGAAACAGGCGGCGAGGACGATGTTAGAGATCTGACGAGAAGTAACTAGTTATAGGAGTGTTTGATTTTAGGTTTTTTTAAGCATTTGATTCTAGGTTTGAATGTTTGATACTCATTTAAAGTAGACTCTAACTTCCAAAAAAATTTTCACTTTTGTTGTTTGAGAATTTGGATAATTATTGTTTATTTGTGTATTTTTTTAGTAATTTGATAAAATAAAATATGTTTATCAAATCTTAGTTTATACCAGAGGTGGATTCCACCCAAACCCGGCCTCGATTCCAACCCTACCAAGAACCACCTGAGTCACCTTTCGGACCTTGTGGTAGGGGTAGAAAGGGTGCATTAACAACCCGGATAGAGACACCCAAGTGGGTCCGAGTTGACCGGTCAGGTAGGGAAACTTTTCCCTAGTAATCTCTAATGCATTCGGGAAGCGCATAATAACAAGACCCGGGACGAAGTACAAGCAAGGATCATGACAGGCTGGTGACAGCACGGGTAGGCCTAAGCAAGAGTGAATTAGTCGGACTAAGTTCACTGCACTGAACAAATTGATCCGGAGTCATGTCCATCCAAATACTACGCGCTAGGAGGGACTGCTAAAAAAGAAAGAGGCGAGGGAGAAAGGTCAAACGCTAAAAGACGAGGAAGTATCAAGTCAATCACCATGTCATGTGGCAAGCACGTGGCCAGGCATGGGCACTTGCCACTCTGCCCCCCTAACCTCTCTATATATACACTTGTAACCCTCAGTAGGAGGGATCCGAATTCTATCTCTCTAGAGCTTATTGTGTAATTCATCCCTATACTCTTCTCACACTTAGTAACAATTGAATTACAAGTGTTTCCACCTAGAGTCCTCCCAATCAATCTTTCATTCTTGAGTCATTTCAGTATCTAAACCTAGCAAACCACACTGGTCAAACTTAACGGGTAGGTGAGACCTAACCCAGATTCACCCATGGTGAAAGATTGAGACACAGGCCCCAACAGGGCACGCTGGTTACGACACCTGTCTTGCTCAGTATAACAAAAAAATATGTAAACCCATAAGAGGGGCTCTAGATAAGGGGTACGCCTGTAATCAGGTATAACCTGGAAGAAGGTTCGAAACTGTACTCACATGGTCTCACAAAATATGGCTGCGAAGGTATAGCATGCTCGAACGGTCTCACTAGTGAGGAAATAAAAAGATGCCCAAGAAAAAATGGAAAAGTATCATGCATCGCATTAGTTCTTAAACTGACCCGTCGGTATCACCCTTCTCAAGGAAGACTTGAACGGTCAACGAGCCAAGGCTGTTGTCTCGAGATAGTAAGCTATAACAGGGCCACGAAAGACTAAGTCTCTCAGAAGAGGGGGCCCTGGAAGAAGGGTGCAATCGATCCTTGAATAGGGTCCGAAACTATCTGACATGGTCAATTCTCCAATGTTTACCTAGCCAGCTAGAAACACTCATAGTAACTACTAGGTTACGGGTACTCCCACACGCAACCTTAATAGAAAAAAAGAAGAGAGACCACCTGGGAAGGGTAAAGGAAACTTAGAGACTCCGATATAGCAGATTAGGCCTCCTCGTCCGTAAAGAGGCACAACAGAGATATTGACCGGGTCGAAGTATTTAAAAAGAAACACATATGACCGGGCAAAGCAAGTTAACTAAGTAATAACTAAGCAAGAGGAAACGCATTCAAAGTAAAAGGAAGGACAGGATAACAAAATACAAAGAGTAACTGATCAAAAACATTGAAATTAGAGGTCACTACAAACTGTTAACTGGGCATACCAGGGAAAAATACAAAGTTTGTAAGAAAAAGAGAAAGTCTAAGACAGGAGAAATTGAGGAGTTGGCTCTTCTTCTGGAATTTGCGGAAGGTCGAAGGCCTTCGGGCTAAAATCCGGGTCCCAAGCCGAGAAGGCATCGTGAGTTGCAGCCTTTCCCTTTTTTGGCCGCATTTGAAGCCATAAGATTCGATGGCGGTGATGATCTTTTGTCATTCGGGCTCCTTGAAGAGAAGTCGGAAGAACCCCATGGTCGCCTCTGGCGATGGGAGAAGCTCATGTGCAACTTCAGCTTGGTTGTCCCTTTCCCATGCTACCAAATTGCTCGGGATGTCTGCCTCATTTCTGGTAAGAGCTTCCCTCATCCAGGATTTCTCTTCCATCACCTAGATTCTCTTTTCCTTCACCCGTTTGCTCTCCACTTTCTCTTTTTCAACAAACCGGGACATCTGGGCGAGTTCTTGTGTCTGGTTGGAGAGGACAGTTGACATCTCTTTGTTCTTCTCACCATGTGCCCGAGCCTCATCTTAAGTCTCTTTTAGCATAACCTCCAGCCGTGCAATGGCGGGGTCACGATCTTCAATGAACCGGTCCCTAAGTCAGGGCCAAGTTCCCTAATGTGCAAGATAATGAAAAAGGTTATAGCAAAGATATGGCTAATGAGGGAGATTACCGGGTAGAGAGAATACCTCTCTCAGCTTAAGGCCCGTCTGAAACCACAGCTCTTCCAATGTCAGGGAAGTTGATCGGGAATCCATCTTCATCTTCTTGCACTTGACCAGTTGGCTCTCTCCCTGTCTCTTGGTATCTTGGTTTGTTTTAGGGGGTTTGGAGGATTGGCCCTTAGAAGATTTCTCCTTCCCCTCCTGTCAGGTCTCTTGCCCCCCATCTCTATCTAAGTGGATTTTCATGGTCTCCCGTTCCATAGGTTTATCTTGGTCACCTTCCCAAGCGGGAGTTGAGGCAGGTTGAGTAGAGCTTGCTCCAGCATTCTCAGGATTTTTCTTCAAGGGAATGGCAAAAGTGTCGAACTCCATATCTGTAAAGTATAAATAAGTAAGCTAATGTATTTATAAATATAATCTCGAAACAACAAAGAAGAGTGCCAATCTAGATGAGAAGGAGACTCGGCCTCAGCATCATTGCCAAGAGGAGTCATCCCATGGCCTTGTGCATTTTGGGCCTTCTTGGTACTCCACTCACCCTTGTTAAATCGGCGGCGTACCTAACTCCCGAAGTGAAACATCTCCCCGGTAGCAAGGTCTCCTCAAGAAGTGTTTATACGACCTCGTCGAGATCGAGAGAAAAAGCCGGGAGGGCGTATTTGTGATTAACTGGGCGATCGCTCAACCGTAGTCCGACGACAGGGAAATACCCCTTCAGAAATTCGATAAAGACAAACAATGACTTCCAGTGTTTATTGCTCAGGGGAAAATCAGAGACGAAAGTTGTAATCCAGCCTTCTCAGGATTTTTCTTCAAGGGAATGACAAAGGTGTCAAACTCCATATCTGTAAAGTATAAATAAGTTAGTTAAAGTTTTCATTAATATAAGCTCAAAACAACAAAGATGAGTGCCAACCTAGATGAGAAGGAGACTCGGCCTCAGCATCATTGCCCGGGGGAGTCACCCTGTGCCCTTGTGCATTTTGGGCCTTCAGGGTACTCCCCTCAACCTTGTTAAATCGGCGGAGGACCTAACTCCCGAAGTGAAACATCTCCCCGGTATTTGGGTCTCCTCAAGAAGTGTTTAAATGACCTCGTCGAGATCGAGAAAAAAAAGCTAGGAGGGCGTATTTGTGATTAACCAAGCGATCGCTCCACTGTAGTCCGACGAAAGGGAAATCCTCCTTCGGAAATTCGATAAAGACCAATGATGACTTCCAGTGTTTATTGCTCAGGGGAAGATCAGAGACGAAAGTTGTAACACCTCGGCCCCCACCCTGGCCGTAAGTGTCTGCTCATAGATTTGTAGGCTGGCTCCACAAACCAACACAAGTCTTTCTCACGCACTTTGTCCTCACTCGTGAGCGCCCAAGGGACTTCCCAGGGGGTCACCCATCCTAAAATTGCTTCAGGTCAAGCACGCTTAACATTAGAGTTTCTAGGTGATGAGCTCTCGAAAAGAAGATGCACCTTGTTGGTATAAGTAGTACTAATAATCCTTTTGATCATGTTCTTTTTCCGAATCCATTTATTTTCAAATCAAGGTATTACAAAAGCTCTACCCGAACGGGACTTGAAGTAGACATATCTGTCGCATCCAACCTTCTTGGAAAGGATCTCGAATAGGTACACAAACAACCTGAGGATGGGTTTTATTTTGAACGCTTGAAAAATGTTGGCAAAACAATTGGGCAACCGATAAGGATTGAGAGTCAATTGACCAGGCATGATGGAGAAGGCCTGGCAGAGGTCAACGAGAAGGGGGCGTAATGGGAAGACGATACGTCCTTCTAAGGATTTGATGTGAGAATTGACCTGGGTTCCCTCGTGAGGCGGTTTAATATTTGGCAACCCCAGGTCATATGATAAGTCCGTTTCGTTCTTATCATTTACATCATATTCTAAACGTTATTGCACGTAAATAGTATTTAATCATCGTATAAAATGTGATTTAAATGAATAAAACTCTCATTTTCGTTCTAACAGTCATTAAAAGGGATTCCACATGAAATCATCATAAATCATCCATTTTATGTTCAAATACTTGAGAAAAAGGGAATAAATAATCAAAGGATCAAGATTCGGGCTTGAACGAGCTTCTGAGAGGTCAAAAACAATGTTCGGGGCCAAAACGGAGCGAAATTGGGCAAAAATAACGAACCAGCCGTGAAGCCCACCAAGAGAAGGGCCTGAGGCGTCCAACTTGGACGCTTGGCCAAGTTGGACGCTTGGGAGTTGGACGCTTTGGCTGGATTGCAGCCCAAGAATGACACGTGGCAAAACCTGGTTGGCCGGGACAGCTCAGGCGTCCAAATCTGGACGCTTGGACTTGGACGCTTTCACTTAGACGCCTTGGCTCCGTTCCTATAAATACATCCCAGTCCCTCTAATTTCAATCATCTCATTCCATCCCAACTTTGGGATTTACACATGCCCTCTCCATTTTAGCTTGTATATTAGTTGTAGTAGTTAGTTTTGAAATATTTTGAGGTTTTGACTCTAGATCTTTTCTGTTCCGCTTTTACGGAAGCCGTAAGTTTTCTTTATTTAATAAAATGTTGTTTTAAATTATGTTTGCATAGTATGAATTAGGGTCCGGATCTTTGGGTGCGGACTATTTTGAATGTTAAATTAATTTGCTTCCATACTTATAATTATTCAATTTGTTGCTTGAGGGCAAGCAACGTTTAACTGTGAGGAATTTGATAAGTCCGTTTCATTCTTATCATTTACATAATATTCTAAACCTTATTGCACGTAAATAGTATTTAATCATCGTATAAAATGTGATTTCAATGAATAAAACTCTCATTTTCGTTCTAAGAGTCATTAAAAGGGATTCCACATGAAATCATCATAAATCATCCATTTTATGTTCAAATACTTGAGAAAAAGGGAATAAATAATAAAAGGATCAAGATTCGGGCTTGAACGAGCTTCTGAGAGGTCAAAAACAGTGTTCGGGGCCAAAACGGAGCGAAACTAGACCAAAATCACGAACCAGACGCGAAGCCCACCAAGAGAAGGGCTTGAGGCATCCAACTTGGACGCTTGGGAGTTGGACGCTTTGGCTGCATTGCAGCCCAAAAATGACACGTGGCAAAACCTAGTTGGCCGGGACAGCTCAGGCATCCAGATCTGGACGCTTGGACTTGGACGCTTTGACTTAGATGCCTTGGCTCCGTTCCTATAAATACAGCCCGATCCCTCTCATTTTAATCATCTCATTCCATCCCAACATCGGGATTTACACATTCCCTCTCCATTTTAGCTTGTATATTAGTTGTAGTAGTTAGTTTTGAAATATTTTTGGAGGTTTTGACTCCAGATATGTTCTGTTCCGCTTTTACGGAAGCCGTAAGTTTTCTTTATTTAATAAAATGTTGTTTTCAATTATGTTTGCATAGTATGAGTTAGGGTCCGGATCTCTGGGTCTGGACTAGTTTGGTTGTATATTTTGAATGTTAAATTAATGTTGGAATGGTTAATCTATTGTTATTGCCTTATTTAGTTAATTAATATCGAAAGATTTAATTATCTATTTATTGAGAAAATATTATATGCCATAGGGCTATGATATTCAAGATCAACGGATTAAGTACAAACCTAGTAATAGGTGAATAATAATAGAAATATTATTATTCCAATTGTTAATTAAATATGTTAAAGTAGATCCAAATGATGTCCTGACCCTACGTCCAGATCTTGCTTATACTATGTAAATAATTTATTTTTGTTTTCACTCTGCTCCCTTCATAATCGTACCGAGAAGACTTTCATAAACCTGTCCAAGCCTTCGCCTAATTAGAGTAATACTAACCCTTTACTGGGAAGGTTTACTACCCGAAAAACTACAATCATCATCATAGTAAAGGACATATTCGTTGGGTAGATGACCACGAGCTTTATTAAGAGCGGCTTTTGATGTGGACGGGGGGGATCTTCCTCACGAGGTAAGAAGGTAGGGGAAAATAATCGGCCTCATCTAGGCGGGCTTCCCTTTCCTCCCGGGTTTCAGTCTCGGGGTGAAAAGGACCCGATTGCTGATGTAAAGGCACAAAGCCTGGGATTTCCATAGAGCCCTAATCCGAGAGGGAGGAAGGGGAAGAAGAGGAAGATGAAGTAGACCCGGTTGACCCATAAGAGTGGGCAAAGGAATTTTGACTATCGCTATTGCTTGAAGACATGACTTAGAACGAAGGGTAATGAAGAGAGATTTAGGAGACTTACTTGGGAAGAGGACTGGACTCGGAGGACTGACATTTCCTCACTTTACCTGGGTTGGCATCTCTCAAGCAAAATCGAGTGAAGAGTAAGGAAAGAGGAAGATGGAGTATATATATATAGTAGTGGAGGCCCTCGATCACTACTCCCAGCCGCGTGCATGGAAGAAGCAAAAGGCAACGTGTGGGAGTGGATCATAATGGGCATAGGTTGCTCATCATCACTTTATGGGGAAGATGAGACAAGACTAATGAGGGGACGGATGAGGGGATGGATGGGGTCATAATGGCCACACGTTGCTCATAATGACAAGACTAATGAGCGGACGGATGGGGTCAAAAGGCATAGGTGGGAAGAGCTCAAAATTTAGAAATTCAATTTTTTTAAAAAATGGATCCAAAAGGAATTTGAAATTTTGGGGCGAAGGCTCACGCCAGGAATATACTCAGTAGTCCAATTTACTTTTCGCCCTTAGAAGTTCCTAAAAGGATGAAAAGTGAAGGGCATATTGATGGGTGGATTCCACCCAAACCTGGCCCCTATTCCAACTCTACCAAGAACCACTTGCGTCACTTTTAGAGCTTCTAGTAGGACCAAAATGGTCACATTAATAACCCAGACAAAGACACCTAGGTAGGTCTAAATTGACCGGTTAGGTAGGGAAACTTTGCCCTAGCGATCTGTAACGCATTTGGGAAGCGCCTAGTAACAAGACCCAGGGTGAAGTACAAGCAAAAACAAAGGCATGTTGGTGGCAGGACGGGTAGGACTAAGTAGGACTGACTTAGTCGGACTAAGTTCACTGCACTGAACGAATTGATCCGGAGTCATGCCCATCTAAATACTACGCGCTAGGGAGGGATTACTAAGAATGGAAGATGCCGGGGAGAAAGGGAAGACACTAAAAGATGAGGAAGCATCAAGTCACTCACCACGTAATGTAACGCTCCGAAAATAGGGCTATCAAAATTAATTAATAATTAATTACTTAGGAGGACCCAAAAATAAGTTATTTATAATGTTTATCAATAAATAATGAAAATTATATCGTTGTGTAGAGTTTGACTGTCTGGTCACAATAGTACAATCGAATCTTAATTCGGAGAAAGTTAGACCAAAAAGTGTACCCTAACTAGGACTGAAATTAGTCCCAATCAAGGACTTGCATTTGAAATCGGAAGAGATCGTCGCCCTCTCCACTAACGCCGAACGAACACACAGGGACAGCTCCTATGTCTTCTTCCTCTCCTCTCCACTATATAAACTCCCCAAAACTTAACCATTCTTCACCGTTCTTCCTCCTTTAGAGAGCAATGAGAATATAGAGCAAAGTAGTGATGTTCAGAGAGCTTCCCGTCGCCGGAGTAAGCCATGATGTTCTCCGGAAGTTTCGCCGTTCAATCGTCTAAATCATCGTTAAGGTCTGAGGTAAGACCGTAGATATATCTAGTGATTAGAATGTTCGTATAAATCATAAGCGGTCGTTTGGTTGAGTTTTGTGTTCGACATGTTTGAAGAACCAATTACCATAAACCTTAAAATTGTTGTTAAATTTGCGAATTAATGATACCAAAGTGATCTACAAACCTTGGAGAACATTTCTATATAATGTAATTAATGTTTGGTGACCTAACATGAAGTTAGAGAAAAGTGACCAAAGGTAGGAGACGATGAACAGTAAACGGAAACACCTGAGAAACACCTTCGGGTGATCGACCAGAGGTAGTGGATTGATCACCTAGTGATCGATCACATGTGGTGGATCGATCACATGAGTTGTCCAATCCGATATTTTTCCTGGAATCCCGATTTTTGAACTATAAAATCCTACTTTTGATACGAATCAATTATGATCAAAATAAAGATGATTTCTGAAAATAAAAATGATATTTTTGACAAATAAAATATTATGTGATGTATGACGGTAAGTTAGGGTGTTAACACTTGACGTTAGGCCGCTATTTGTTATTGGATATTATGATGATTATTATTGATTGATGATTATAATGAATACTATTTATTAATTATGATGATGATTAAGCTTTGATGAATACTCTGAACAAAATGATGATTATAAATTTTTGAACTATGATTCAAAATAAATGGATAGATGAGAAATGAATTGTATTGTTAAGGCTATCTAGAAAGATTCTAAGATAGACCTCAAATTAGAATAGGCCTTGCGGGTATAAATATAAATATTTGGTGGCCTCGGTAAAAATGTACGTACGAGATCCGCAAACCAAACTTGAGGATCACTCGTTTGGGGATACCACCCAACCCGACAGTGAGCATTCTTGTGTCAGGTTTCTAGTGTACCTTAAGCAAAGGCTAGTTTAAGAGTTGGAAAACCTTTTTGAAAATTGTACCTTAAACTAGACTAGCTTAAGAGTTGGTTAGTAGTACCTTAAACTAGTATATAGTTTAAGAGTTGGTTAGAAATACCTTAAACTAGAATTAGTTTAAGAGTTGGTAACATCAAGAAATTTGCCTTAAACTAAGAATAAGTTTGAGAGCATATAAAAACCAAAATAGCACTCTTAGAGCTTTAAAATACTCTAAATAGTAGTACTATATGTTTTGTACATGTGATTCCAATTTTGTCCTTTAATAAAAAAGCAAATATTCATTACACACTACCAAAAAATATGACTGTTTTGGGCAGTGTGGTTGTTCACCTGTAGCTGTGTAGTGGGCAGTGTGGTTTTTTATATGTGAGTATTTAATGTGGCGGTGTAGAATGAATATATGTTGTTACATCTTACGGCAGTACGTAATTGCATTATTGTGTTCCTTAATTTCATGTTGGGGTGTAATGTCCATTGATTTTTGTGGTAGTGTTTTCATGTATAAATTCTACAATGTCAAAAAGTGAATGACTATTTTCATATATGAATTCCACACAGCCGAAAAAATGTATAGCTCTTTTTATGTATGAATTCCACACTATTTTCATGTATGAATGTTTTCATGTATGAATTCCACACTGTCCAAAAATATATGACTGCTTTCATGAATAATCTATTAGACCAAAACACACTGGCCAAACATGAGCGTTAAATATGGAACTTAATTTAATACATACAAACTTGTTTAGGTATTATACACTGGTAAATTGCGTAGGAGGAGGATCTCGTAGAGCTATGGTAAACGGCGTAGGATGATTTTCTCGCACATATGAGATGCACGAATGAGGAGGAGCTGCATGTATGAGGAGTAGTGGCTACGTGAATAACCTAAGTTTAATCAAATAATTAAAAGTAATTAAAAATAGTAGAATATAATAGAAGGTAAAGGGTGTGCTGGGAAGATATTGACACTATAAACAACTAAATTCGTATAAAATACTAAGGAGTACTATATGCGTAATATTGAGTGACTTAGAGTGCTACGTAGGGTGATTTCATTTATTGAATATGAAAGTTGAATGTTGATTATTGAATGTTGAATCTCTGAACTGAATATTCTGTGCATGATATCAATTGAATTGATTATGAATTGAGATTCAATTTATATGGATGTTCGATGCATTAGATATCCTTATTTAGCTTTACTGCTGAGCGTCTAGTATGTTTAGTTGCTACACGTAGGAAAACAGAATGAATGAAGTGACTATTCATGGCGGCTGATGGGGCGAGATGGTCGGGATGATGTGAGAATTTGAATTACTGTTCTAAAAGACATAAAATTTATTATGTTTGTAATTGTGATTTATTAAGTTTCTGCAACTTTAAATACTCCGTTATTATTCTGAATAATTTATTATGAAATAAAGTTTTAAAATGTTTGAAAGATTTTGAATATAACGACCCAAAATCCGGCTTAGAAGTTAGCTATAATTCTAATAAAAATAAAAATAAATTTATTTACTCAAAAATATGAATTATTTGTAAGGTAATCCGTTTTAAATGAAAATTAGGTTTTCGAGTAGATCTCGCAAAATGATGACCAACGGTATATAGTTTGTTAAATTCGGACTTACGTGTAAAGCGTGATGAGGGGGTGGGGGAGTGTGTTCAGGTCGGGGCGGGGTGGGGGAGTTTACCGGGGGAGTTAGGAGGGGTATGAATCGTTAATTTTACGACGTATTTCTTAATACTACCCGTACACCAAAACCCTTCCCTCCCCTTATATGAACACACGCACGCACACCGAAGAAAGAAAAGAGAAGAAAGAAAATAAAAAAAGAAAGAAAGAATTGAGCAGCGGACAAAAAAGAGAAGGAGAAAAAGGAGAAGCTGCGGTCCATAGCCGGAGGAACAGAACAGGGTCGAAGAACAGAAACGCCGCTGCTCCGTCAACAACTGTTGTGCCGCTGTCGTGTCGCCACCGCTCCAGCGTCACTGCTTCGCCGTTGCAGGAAAACAGCCCCACCACCGTCCCCTTTGTTGTGGATTCAATTCGTCATTTTTTTTTCTTTAATTTGCCAATTAATCGAGGTCAGAACTTGCACATCTAACGCTAGATTATGTATATAGATTCGAAATTCACGTTCGTAGTTTCGTATGATTGATTATGTGGTTTATTTGTTAGAATTGTATTATGACTTATTGATATAATATGATATTGTTGGAATTGGTTGAACGAGGAAGGCCAGGTACGTTTTCTAACCTTGAAATTTTGTGGCTTACATGATAAAAACCTTTAGAAACGTTATCTGGATTGAATGGTGTTGAATAGAATTCAATTACGTTGTTTTTGTATCTTTCCGACTTCAGGCGGTAGCTAGGAACTGCCTCACGGTACCCTGCTATCGCCATAGACCTCTGCGTTAATTTGGCTTTGTCGATACCTGCGCTCGCACGGTAGGGGGTACCGGCCAGACGGTACCAAGGTACCAGACCAACGGTACCAAGGTACCGTGTCAGCCATCGATACCTCCTCAACCCAATTCTCCTCTGTCGGTAGCTGTAGTCAGACGGTCGGGGGTACGAGACTGCCGGTACCTAGGTATCGCCCGACGATACCAGGGTACCGAGAAGGGTACTGTGTCCACCCCCAGCCGCCCGTTTATCCGTTTGTTTGTTCTGATTTGAACCCGAATTTATCCCATGATCTTGTATGTTGCATGACGGTAAGTGGAGGGTGTTTATGTAACACCCCAATCCGTATAACCCAGAATTACATGAATTAAGGTGAAACGAGGGTTAAATAAAAATTTCGCTCGACACTTGAAAATGACAATTACTTATAAATATTAAATTTACAGACTCTAGATCGCGACCCATTTAAAAATATTTTCAGAGTAATGCGGAAGTACAATAACAATTAAATCATGACACATTTAAATTCTTTGATGATCAAACATTTGCATGCCATCCTTGCATCTCCTCTGACTCAATGCCCTCCGGGAGTGGTTCCGTCATTGTCCTCTTATTACCTACGTGTAGTCAACGAAAAATACAAACTACACGCTCAGCGAAACCGCTGAGTGGTACCACGCTAGAATTGTAGAATAATTCATAGACATAGACATATACATATATATATATATATATATATATATGTCCACAAAAATGTATAATAATATTCATGATATGGCACATTATATCATATGGTCAATTCGATGAATCATGATGATAAATATTTACTATTAATTACATGATGGCACATTTAATCAATTTGCTTGTTCCTGAGGATGATTACATGACACCTATGTAATCAATATAATTGTTCTTGATGATGATTACATGACATCTATGTAATCAATATATTTGTTCTTGATGATGATTTCATGACACCTATGTAATCAATGTACTTGATGATGATAACATGATTTCACATTTAATCAATTTGATTGTTCTTGATGATGATTACATGACACCTATGTAATCAATGTACTTGATGATGATAACATGATGCATGAACTTATAACCCGCAAGGAACGACCTTGCCCTATGAGATTCGCCCATTTGGTACGACGAACTCATGCCACCTTAGTCTCACGAATGAGGTGAGACTAGAAAAATAGGGGTGGTACTCGAAAGCCTGAATACAATGTACGTACACTAAGCCCGGTCAGTGATGTCAGACCGCTAAGTCCCGCACAATCACGCTATAAGAGACGCACGGGGCATGATCTCCTACGCATGCATATGATGTGATATGCTTCAATAGGAATAATGAAATGAATGATATGATGTGAACAATTTGCAAACAATATGAATATATAATCATGCATAAGTTTATTTGGTTGAAACATAATTAAAATATCATTTAATCAAGCTACTAGGCTCGGAACGGTCAACCGTTTGGCACGGCGGTCGACCGGGCTCTAACTCAAATTGTCGGATTCCAGTTTACCGTGACGGTCGACCGTTCTGCTGACAGTCGTGGTCCGTTTCGAAGTTTAATACGACACTCGACCTTTTGCGTCGACCGTTTGGGTCTGCGAATCTTTCTCTTGATATTTTGAGTGTCCAAAATACTTCTTTAAGTCTTTTAAACACCTTTGATTTACGTATACATGTTGTTGGGTTTATTTCAAATGTTTATATATACTTATGTATATATATTAACTTTATGGATTTGGTGTATTTTTATCTCAACATATAGATGACCCGGCCTATATATGTATCACATATATATTTTGAAATGATTTCAACATATGGATTAATATATATGTTCATGTATGTATGTGATGAATGATTCGACAAGTCTAACGCAAGGGTACAGACCTGGAAATCATCGGCCGAAACCTTACGGATGAGCGGGAGTGGAAATAACATCGAAATTCACCAACTTTGTCATTCTCGTCACAATTGGGCAACCTGCCGTATTTTGGGCATATCTCCATCGTTTCTTCACGGAATTGCAAACCGTTTGATTCTGTGGATTCCTAAGATGTAAGGCTATAACTTTTGTATAGAAAGTATTTCGAGTTAACAGATGTAAGATAGCGTAAATTGGATCTGAAGTCAAAGGATAGTTGTTGTCCAGGATTTTGGATATGTTGATGAACAACGATTCCGACGATTAATTCATTAACTTCAATATTCCAACACCGAACCTTCTCTATGATACCTTCTGGATGTTCTTAATAATTGTTAGAGAGTTTATGGTAAGTGTTTGGAATGAAACAACATGGATATGGTGAAGAAACATAGCCAACCCGAGGAGCTCGCCACCACTGGCGCAGTTCCGGTATTTTGGCCATATCTCCTTCGTTACTTAACGAAATTGCGAGCCGTTTGTTGGGATGGATTCGTATCGTCCGGGGCTACAACTTTGGTTCAGAAATTATTTCGAGATAATGGATGGAAAATTTCAGTTTTTACCTCAAAGTGGACTGATATGTTTTGGTTTCAGGATTTTGAGACTTTATGGTTTTCTTCTTCCTTCTTCTTCTTCCTCCTTAGTATACAACAATGGAGCATTGATGTTTTCTTATCCTTCTTTGGGCTGCCGACAGAGAGAGAAATAGAGAGGAGAATTGGATGAATGATGGTGGATGATGGTGATGGTGTATAATGATGATGATGGTGGTGGAATTGTGTAGGAAAGGGTTGAGATTTGAAGTATTATGTAGATTTGATGTATTATTAAGTAGTGGAGAATAAATGGGGTGGCTAGTGGAGTGACTTACGTGATTGGGGAGGGATTTTAGAATATTAGTTTTGGACTTTTGTCCAAACTGAACAGTTTACTCCAAACGGTACGCGCTTTTTCTCCCAAACTGCTCCGAATTGAAAACGGATTGTATTTTTTGAATGAGAATGTCAAAACTAGAATTTTGACGTAATCAAAATATTTTTCTGAGAACTTTTATTTTTCTTAATGTCTGGGTGTGTCTCTGTCATAAATTAATTTAATATTATAAATGATATAAAAATATATGAATTTAATCCAAATCCTGAATATGATGTTGTCAAGTGTCAAAGGTTAAGATTTCTAATCTTATGAAATTACTTTTGAATTGATTTTAATTTATGGGTCAAAGTTACAAATTTTAATATTTAAAATCGTCATAGCTTGAAACATATAAATCAGATTGATTTATAAAATGTTCTGTTGGATTCGTCTCCTCGAGACATATCCATAAAAATAAGTTTTTAACAAAAAGTCCTTATTTTGAAAATTCATTTATTTTTGGTCAAACGTATAAATATTCCTTATTCGACAAAAACTATTTTTGTTTAATAATAAATTCTAGGCCTTATTTTGTGGCGTTACAGTTTACACCCGAGACTTGGCCGCTAATTGTTGAACATGAATGCTTATTTATCATGTTCTTATCTCGTACAAATTTAGAAATCTGGAATTATGAATTTGAATACGGATAGGCTACCTAGCTGAATTATAGGTAGACCGAGAAAACGAATAAGGATATAGTTAGGAATAACTGGTCATGTGATGAGCCAGCGTGCACGCATGATCAGTTGGGTAGAGCATGCGCACGGGGGTCGTAGATCTGCTCATGGATGTGAGTAGGTGGTCCCACCCAGCCAACATTGGATGACGTCGTATCGAGCAGGTTCTTCCATTGATGTGGTCGAATCAGGACTCTAGAATAAAGTAGTTGGCCTTAGCCTAGGATAGGTTATGAGCCTAAAGATAAAGAAGTTGATTATGAGTTAAGTTTGGTAATTATGTTTGATTGATGAATTATATGATATTAATGATGTTATTGATGTTGTACTTGTGTGCATGATATTGTATGAAGTTATGAGCTAGTGGGTTCGTCTATGTGCGTAGTTGAAACGTTAGATAGTTCTCACATAGCTTCAATGCTTAGCGTGTAGCCCTTTTTTCTATTTGCTACACGTAGGTAACATGAATGATGAATAAGGAACTATCCTGGAGGGCAGCGAGGGAAGAGAGATGGATGGATGCTGGTTGGAGGATTTTATTATTTACTCCTTCCGTCTCACTTGAAACTTCTCACTTTGACTTGGCACGGTTTTTAATGTAATGCTAAAATTGCTTTGACTTTCCACATTTTCCCTTTTGTTTTTATCTTTCCAACCCCACATCACCCCTGCAAAGTTTCATTCTCAAACCCACCCACCCACCCCGGCAAATCCACCGACTCCATTCTTGCCATCTCCGTTTTTGAAGAGATTGGGCTCAAAATCAATAGCTAATGAAATTGAAAAAAAATTAAGAGATAGGGTGAGATCTATTTTAAATCCGCCATGGTCGTTGGGACTGTCATCACCTCATCGCCCGAAAGCTTTTCCGTTACCGCTGCCACCTGATCGTGAAAGCTTTGTCCGAGGAAGAAGGTGAATGGGAGCGAGATCTGTAGGTTTTCTAGCTGGATCTTGCTAAAAAAGGAAATTAAAACCATTTCACAGTGAAAGGACGGACTGGATTTAGTGCCCGGATGATGGAGGAACGAACTTCTATATCAGAATCCTTTGAGCCGCTACATGTGGCCGACGCCGGCGAAGAAAAAGAGGGGGGGTGATGTTGAAGATGTGCGGTGGGGGTGGGCGTTGATGAACACAAAGGTTAAGAAGAAGAAGGAGGAGGTGTGCGGGTGGAGGGGGTGGTTGAAGGAGGAAAGAAAAACTGAAAAAGAAAAGAAAAAAAAGAAGAAAAAGGGGAATGGTGGAGTGGGTTGGTCTGATCGAGAACAAAGAAAAGAGGACAGAGGAGTTGTGGAGGAGAGAAAAAGAATAAAGGAAGAAAGGGTAAATTAGTAACTTTAAATAAATTTTAATTCCATTTTAGGAAACGGGAAGAATCAAGTGGGACGGCTTAAAAAGGAAAGTGAGAAGAAAGATATGGGACGGAGGGAGTAATATTTAGTTTGAATTATTATATTTTAAGGGTAAGAACCAAAGTTGTATTTTGATTAAGTACTTAAAAGCTTCCGCACCGATTTGATTTACTCCGATGGATTTATAAATATTGTTTTTGAATTAAATGTTTTAAATTGTTTTGAAAATTATTGTGTCTCAATACCAATTTAGTAGCAACCCGGTTCGCTAACTCGTTGGTTCGGGTTACGCGAATTGGGGTGTTACATTGAATGTTTATGTAATGCCCCAAAACATACCCTAATATTTACTGAATTAAATATTCAATTAAATAAATTGTTTTGATTAAAAATAAATTGTTGTTGGGCCTTGGGCCAAAATAAAATATGTTCTGATATCCAATATCATAATCCGAATAAATCTCATATAAATGAATCCAATATGTTGACTTATTGTGTGACCTTGATTGAGAACCTGAGTACAGATCCAAATCAAGAATAAATGAAGAATTTGTTTGTGATATAAACATTGAAATGATTTATTGAAATAAATCATGAGAATAAATAATACTAATGAAATGTAAAAACCTTTCTGAGTAAAGGTCAACAAAATCAATTTTGACCCTGTCAAAGTCAAACACCCAAAAATATGATGTCGAAAAAAGTATTACAAATAAATATGAAAATTATATCGTTGGATAGAGTTTAATTATACGATCGCAACGGTGCAAACAAAATTCAATTCGGAGAAAGTTGGACCAAAAAGTGTTCTCCGACTGGGACCAAATTAGTCCCAATCAGGGACTTGCGTTTGAAATGGGAAGAAATCGCCGTCCGCTCCACTAGCCGCTCAAACAGAGAAGTGACGCAGGAACCATTGGCCTCTTCTCCATTCTTCTTCTATATAATGGAAACCAAAACTTCACCATTTCTTCACCATTCTTCATCAAATTCGTTCTGGGAGATAGCCTTGAGTGTGGAGAACGTAGTGGTGCTGTCAATTTGGTGTAAGGTCGCCGAAGTTGAGAGTTATCGTCGTCGGAAGTTTCACAGGAAAATTCTCAAAACCTCCATTAAGCTTCGAGGTAAGCCCGTAGATATATCTAGTGACTAGAATGTTCGTATAGATCGTTTTTACGTTCATAAACGGTCGTTTGGTTGAGTTTTGTGTTTGACACGTTTGAAGATACCAAGAATCATAAACCAAGAAATTGTTGTTAAAACTACGAATTAATGACTCTAAAATGATTTGTGAACATTTCGGAACATTCTTATATAATTTAATTGAAGTTTGGTAATTAAAAATGATAATGTTAAAAATTGATCAGATGATGAACAGTGGCCAAAAATCGATTATTTCCTTTCTAATAATCGATTAAAAATTTGTTCAGATGAGGTATTCGAAGTCAGTATATTTAAAAATAATAATAATCGATGATTTTAATCATAAAAATCGATTTAAAGTTATTAATCGATTATTTTAATTATAAAAATCGATTTTTAATTATTAATTGATTGTTTAAAGTATAAAAATCGATTTTTAGCAATTAATTTATTATTTAAAATATAAAAATCGATTTAGCTATTATTGGATTATTTTAAATATAAAAATCGATTTTTAGGTATTAATTGATTATTTTAAAAATAAAAATAGATTTTTCTCAAGTCTAGATCCTGTTCCGAAAATATTCGGAAAATATATGCTCTAAAATCCACTGATTATGATCATTGGAAAAATGATTTACCATAATAAAAATGATGTTTTTAACAAATAAAAATGTTATGTGATGCATGACGGTAAGTTAGGGTGTTATCACCCGAAGCTAGGCCGCTAATTATTATTGAATATTATGTTGATTGATGATTATGAGAATGATTATTGATTGATGATTCTGATGATTGAATCTTGATGAATATTCTGATTAAAAATGATAATTGTGAATGATTAAATCATAATGAATATATTGATGATTGTGAAAATAAAATGTATTGTTAAGGGTATCTAGGAGACCTCTAAAATATACCCATATTACTGTTGATTTGAAAGGTATCTAGAAGACCTCTAAGATATACCTATTTAAATTAGGCCTTGCGGGTATGAACCCTGTTGGCTAGGGTTAAAACGTACGTACGGGATCCAAGAACCAAACTTGAGTACCTACTCGTTTGGGGGTACCACCCACCCAACAGTGAACACTACGCTGTCGGTTTTTGGTTGGCCTTAAGTGAAGGTAAGTTTAAGATTTTCAAAACTCTTTTATCTTAAACTAGGACTAGCTTAAGGATTATTTAGGAATATTTTATACTGGAATATAGTTTAATTATTTAAACTAGAATTCGTTTAAGGGTTGACAAATATTAAAGTGATTGGCCTTAGACTAAGAATAGTTTAAGGATATTGTTGAATGTTGAATATTGAATATTGAATATGAGTAAATATTGAATGATGAATATTGAATTAAATATTGCAATTATTATGAATGACTGACGAACATTGAATGTGAATATAAATGTTGAATAATGCATGATGAATAATTTTTAATAATTATTGATTATCTGAACTGAACATTATGTGCATGATATCAAATGATTTGATTATGAATTTAGATTCAGTTTATATGGATGTTCGATGCATTAGATATGCTTACTCAGCTTCAACGTTGAGCGTGTAGTATGTTTTATTTGCTACACGCAGGTTAATGAAGTGACGTGATTCTGGAGGCAGACGGAGGCGAGATTGTCGGAATGGATGTGATGGTTTTGAATTAAAGAACATAAATAAATTATGTTTGTATTATGATTTGTTAAGCTTCCGCAATATTGAAAACTCCGTACTGTTTATAATATGAAAAATACTATAGTGTTAAATAAAAGTGTTTAAAATGTTTTAAATTTTACGATTACCAAGTTAATACTTTAGTCCGAAAGGGGCTGCAGACCTGGACGGATTAAGGTGTTACAGTTTACGAATACCAAGTTTGTACTTTGGTCCGAAAGGGGCTACAGACCTGGATCGATTAGGGTGTTACACGTCATGTGAAAGGCACGTGACCAAGCATGGGCGCCTGCCACCCTGTCCCCCTTACCTCCATAAAAATACACTTGTAACCCTCCAGTAGGAGGGATCCGAATTCTATCTCTCGAGAGCTTATTGTGTAATTCGTCCCTATACTCTTTTCACACGTAGTAGTAATTGGGCTACATATGTTCCCACCTATAGTCCTCCCGGTCAATCTTCCATTCATGAGTCCTTTCAGTAACTAAACTCAGCAAAGCACCTTAGATCTGGTCTGGAGTAGTTTGCTTGGGTGGTTAATTTACACCATCAGTACTCGAGTATAAGTTTTTATGTAGTTTTTAAATACCCCCTCTATCCCAAAAATTACTCTCTTTACTATTCAAAAGTCACATAAACTTTTTTATCTGTGTATTTTGATTGATTATTTGGTAAAATAAAATATTATTGTCACCTTTTGTTTTGTAGAACTTTGGATATTGTTTTTAAATATATAAATTTCATTTTTAATTTTTATACCAATCTTTAAATAAAATAAATTTAAAAAACTTTAAAGTTTGCTTCGTTTTTACGTAAAGTGCAAAACGTTTTAGGACGGAGGGAGTATATAATTTATACATTATTTTTATACTAATTTAATAAAATATTTAAAAATGGTATTTTACATTTTTCGAACTATGTAAATTAATCTGGGGTAGAAGAAGTAGTAAAAGGTTACTTTATTAGAATAGGGTAACTGTAGCATTTTAAAGTTATCCTGACCTCAAACTTAACATAGACACGTACATAGAGGAATTAATTATGTCGCACAAACAATAAATATCTATGTGTCTGGGAAAATTTTGAGATCATGTGACCCCAAAATGATGGAGTTACCATAGCACGATTAATGCTGTGTTGCATTCACTTAATTTGATCTAATGATTTTTTGAAGTTCCGGTTTGGTCTGATCTGATTGGATCTGATCTAATTTGAATTGAAAGGATCCCATTGGATCTAAATTTGATTCAAAATAAACTTAAAAATATTACCATAATTTAATAACTTTTTAAAATTATAATAATCATCCATATAATAATATAATAAATAACTTTTATTCTAGAATTATTAGATTTATGAAATGAATATAATGAATTAATATATACATTAGAATAAAAAACATTGACAATAAGCAATGGTTGAAAATATTAGTCATTTATTTTTAATATTCAGTATAGGAAAGAGGGAGTATTATTATTAAAGTACTCAATCATTAGAAAATATAAATATTATACTACAAAATATTACATTTTTTGCATCTTACATAAAAAATTTATACTACAAAATGTGAATAGAAATTTTTTATGGTACAAAGTATTACTCTCTCCATCCCTCATAGATCTTTCTATTAACCCTTTTTATTTGTCTCTCATAGATCTTTTCATTACCTTTTCTACCATTTAAAATTACTACAATTATCTCCACTTATTTTATTTATTACACCTCACTCACCTTATTTAATACACTTCACCCATTTTCATTAAGCGTATTTTGGTAAAATTTCACCTTTTTCAACTTTCTTTAAAAATCACAAAGAGTTCACACGGTTGATGCCTTCCTCGGCCTTGCGGGCTTTTTCCTCGGCTGCTTGTGCACGCTCTTCAGATGTGTCGAGCTCCCTCTGAAGGGTTGTCACCTTTCAATGCGAGCAAAAGGTTTTGGCGTAGGCCTTTGCCTTGCTCTCCTCGGCTCGCTGCAACCGGAAGATCACCTTAGAGGCACACATCGCCTCTTAAAAAAAGAGTTCCATTATTCCATTATTCAAATACAGTGATACGGTGAGTTCTAAAAATCTTACCGAGCCCAACTCGTGAAGGAAGACATAGAACAAGGCATCGTTGTCCGCCTTCCAAAGTGCCTTGCGGTCAGGAGGCAGAATGAAGCTTCGCAAGAGGGTCTACAACTCATAGTCACCTGCAGGAAGGAAGGTAGGGGAGGGCAAGCCGCTTTAACCAATGACGGGTTACCGAAGTCTATCATGTGGGGGGACTCAGATATCCTTGCTGCAGTCAAGACCAAGGCTGAGGCCAACACTTTAAGTGTTTTACTAAAAGCGGCCTTCTCGATTGACGGGCTACGGTGTAGAGTAGGAGGCCGAGCACCGGAAGGCCCTTGCGAGCTCTTGCCTTCGGCGCCCTAGCGCATGAGCTTCATCTTATCAAAGGCAGAGAGCATGATGTCACTTTCAGTAATAAGAAGATAGTGAGGCCAAAACTTAAAGCAAATTGTACCTATCGGCAATAGATAGTATACCATTATGGCCGAGGGGGGAGTGGTGTTGACCTGGTGCGTGGCCTTTTTCTTGGGCAAGAAAATGTACCCAATCTATGCCAAAGCCTGGTGGGTTACCAACTACTTTAGCTTGTAGGGGCCCCTCACAAAGCTTTTCCACATCAGCGATCATCCTTGTCCTAGTAATTGGCAAGACGCGTCGGTGGAAAGAACTATGAGCGATCTCACGAAAAGTGGAACCCGAGCTCGTAGAAACAAAGACAAACTTCCCCTTCCAGTCCTTCATGGACCCCTTTTTTTGATTTGAAGGAGCCCTCTTGCTTCTGGGAGAGGGCGGCATAGGAATAGGAGTCCATACCGGAAGACCTAGCCAATCGATGTGGGACTTGAAGGCAGTCGAGCTCGAGATAGGCCCCAATTTAGTGCCAGTAAATGAGAAACCCTGCCATGTAACGATGCAAGTTTGGGGCCAATTTGGCAGGGAAGAAAATGGAAATGGGTGAAGAAAGAAATGGTCAAAGGACGAAGGGGAAAATGAAAGCCATACTTGAGGCACTTGAGATGGATAGCGAAGAAGCCAGGAGGAGCGTCAAAGACGGAATCCTTGGGGGTGGGACGGTATACAGTAACGCTAGAGCTGGCCAGGCGCACGACCTCGTGATACTTGTCTCCTGTCAAGTCGCACTTTTGTGCACAGATGACTGGGTCAACCAACGCTGTCTGTTTTTTAAAACGGGGCTCAACGGTCCGAGGGACCTCAACCGCCTCTATTTCTTCAAGAGACGGCGAGCTCAGTTGGTCCCCTTGGCTGTTCCGATAGACAGAACCGTCACCACCAAGATCGAGTTGATCCTTGGTCTCGACTTAGCGCGTAGTTGAGGACCTGACAGACATTGGAGGGGCAAAAGTGAAAACTTGCCTAGAGTAAGGGCGTGGCTGGAAATTCATTTGTTGGACGATGGTGAAAGAACGACGGGACACACGCGAACACTAGTCACTTTCTCTCTCTAGGAACGAGGAATGAAGGATGTAAGGTTGATATTTATATTTGATAAACGATGGGATGAAGAAATAAATGGGTCCGGCGTAATGATGAGTAGTGATGTTGCAGATTGGGAAAAATAAATGCCAGCATACGCGTTGCTTTGGGAATACCAAACGTCACCATCCCTCTGAAATCCTTCCGCACGTGGAGCCACGCCCTTAGGGGTCCTGCAATTTTAGACTCTCGCCGGTCCCCCTCTCCAACTGTCAGGGAACACAAAGAGTTGGGGGCTTATGACGGAGGGTAATCCCACGTCATGCTGGTAGCAGGCCCAGGACCGGACCCCACCGCCCAGGTAAGCTCAATCGGGCCCACATGCTCGGCTCAGTCGTAGGGGCTCGGTCCCATGGACTCGGCTCGAGCCAACGATCTCATCTCTGTCTTACCGAGCTTAGCAGCTCCGCTTGGTCCAAGGAAGATTTATGCTCGAGTCCACCCCTCCACGTGAATGCACTGAAAGAGGATTGGACATCCTGCATACCTCCAATCGCCAAAGACACAGACTAGACGACAGGGGAATCTCACGGGAAGCTGAATAACACGAGAGGTGACGACAAGAGCTAGACGACAAACAAGTATCAATCACGGTTATTACCGCTATAATAGCAAGGAAGCTATAAATAGCCTTAGGCCATGCCATTGTAAGGGATCCAAAATTATGTGAATATACTCCTACTTTGCATTACCTTATCTCTCTCTTTATACATTTGCTTACTCGACTCACCCGACCTCACGCTCGGACTACTAGGTGGTTTATTACCATCAGTAAGGTATATTTCTAGATATATAGGCCAAGTATAAATGTATAATGGTCTTGGTAGAGGATTATATTTGTTAAAATAATTTTAATTTGGAATTCAAAAAAATAGATATTTTGATAAACAGTTATTTAAATGGATGTATATCCGGATCAGATTTTAAACATATCGAATATTCAATTACCAAATTCGTATTCGTTTAGTAATCAGATGTCTTGAATCAGATACAGATAAATAGATAATATCCATTGAAAACGGATGCAGATTATTCCCGTTTAAACAAATGCGAATGGAGACAGTAATCGAATTTTCGATTATCATCGACTGCCCTACTTTAGACTACTATTCCTTCTATTTTTTTACTCATTAACTATGTGCAATGACACATTTTCCCTTTGGTTTTTAATAGTAAAAAGTGGACACTTGTTTGACAAATGCTCGGTTAGACCATTACGCGCCCTATGAGGAGAGCTAAGAGACAAGACAAAGATGCTAAGGATTTACTTTGTTAAAAGCGAAAGAACACAGCTAGCCAGTCACCCCGATCTCCAGAGATCCAGACGTAAAAATTCACCGAATGGTCTCTTAGCTACATTAATTAGTTTTTGTATGTCATAGAGTATTCTCTTGCCTTTTGAATCCATATAGATTTAGCGGTTGATCTATATAGGGAAATATTGGGTTTTGACGTTTGCGCCAATCAAGTAGGTATCCAATTATTATCTTCACTTGCATACCATTATCATTCGCTCCTTTGAAACTGTCGCATTGGTGATCAGATCTTGTTTAGATCATATTGTGATGCCAAATTTTCATTTTCAGAAATTTCGAGAATTTCCTTCCTGCAATATATCAAGGATCATCGTGAAATTTGTGATAAGTTTTAGACGTGATTTGTCCAAAGTGAAGACATGGAAAATTGACTGATTTGTCGACAGTAATTGTGTTTGTCTAGGACTAGGATTGTATTGAGCGTTTTGTATTTTTCCGCATGGTTTTCGTTAGGTACGGATTATTAGGGATGGATTAGTTAGGTTTCAACTGATTCGCTGATTTATAGTTTGAAAAGAGGGCCTCCTCTGGACGGCTTCATCTTTATACTTCTTTTGGCACTCTTAATAATGTGCAAAATCTTTGTTGGCTTTTGAACTTTCTGTTCAGTCTCGGAGTAGATCTTTCAATGAAGTGGAGCCATTGTTTTATGCCAAAATGATTTGTCCTTAGGAAAGATCTCAAGCTCGTGGAACTTCATCCCTCTCTAATTTGGCTTTCATTAAGAATCTGTTGCTTCATTTACAATCGGATTGGTAGCGTTTACAGTTTGTTTTACTTTTGTGCTGATAATTAGTTGATTAAATTTGGAAAGCCATGAAGCATAAAGATGGGAAGCCCTTATACAAACCAGATTCAAGAAAAGTTCCAATGGCGCTAATACTTGTTGTGCTCTGTGGGTTTTCGTTTTATCTCGGTGGGGTCTTCTATTCCGGCAAGCAGAGTTTGTTAAATAACAACAACAACAACAACAATGATGGCAGCAAGGAGGTTGAATCTCTGGAGGTTACTGCTGGTGGCTCACTGCAAAATGCCGACACTTCGTTTCCTGAGTGCAGTCCCGACTTTCAGGATTACACTCCTTGCACAGACCCGAAGGTACATAATGTGCTCTGTATTAGTCTATTCTGGATTTTTGTAGGCCACAAAGTCTAAATACACACTGACTATACAGAGGTGGAGGAAATATGATCTTCAAAGGTTAACTTTCATGGAACGCCATTGCCCTCCGCCATTTGATAGAATGGAATGCTTGGTCCCTCCGCCGGATGGATATAAGGAGCCAATCAGGTGGCCAAAGAGCAGGAGTGAAAGTTGGTACAGGTAAGGTGTTGTTGGAATTTTGGTGACTTTTGATTGGATTTTCGAGTGCTTGCATCATTTTAATACCCACTTGTATGTGGTTGCAGGAATGTTCCATATGATTGGATTAACAAGCAAAAATCTAATCAACATTGGTTAAGGAAAGAAGGTGAGAAGTTTCTTTTCCCTGGTGGTGGGACCATGTTTCCCAATGGAGTTGGCCAATATATTGATTCCATGAAAAATTTGATTCCTGGTATGAAAGATGGGACGATCAGGACAGCCATTGATACTGGATGTGGGGTGAGTGCGCACTACTTGTATGATGCCTTTGCAGTTTTGTTTAATGCATTGTTTTCACGAATTAATTTTCTTCTGATGGTATTTAGGTTGCAAGCTGGGGAGGGGATTTACTGGACAGTGGGATAATAACAATGTCATTAGCGCCAAGAGACAATCACGAAGCTCAAGTTCAGTTTGCTTTAGAACGTGGGATACCTGCAATTCTAGGGATCATTTCTACACAGCGACTTCCATTCCCTTCTAGTGCCTTTGATATGGCTCACTGCTCGAGATGCCTTATCCCATGGACTGAATTCGGTAACTGTCCTACCGGTTAAAATGGTCAAAACAAACACAAAACCTACTCTAACCGGTCCAGGCACCCTTGGGCTTACCAGTGTTTTTTCATCCAAGTGATAAATGTGTTATCGTGATACCACTGGGTGCCGTTGTAGTCCTATATTAAAATGATGGCCATTACTAATACTGGATAATACTCCCTCCGTGCCTAAATAAAACTTCTATTTTTCTCTTGGCCTTCACTAAGTAAAGCCATTTTTTATTTTGTGAATGCAATAATCTTACTTTACTATCATTATTATCCTCACCTCACCATCAATTATTCTCAACGCCGTCACAAAGGCATTGTTTGGAACTCAAACAACATGTGATTCAGTGAGAGTGGGAGTACTTAATTATTTTTTCATCCATATGTTTTGTGTGTGTGTGTGTGTTCATAAAAAAGGAAATAAATCCAACCTTGTGTATATATCTGATTGTTTTCAGGGGGCGCCTATCTTCTAGAGATACATCGCATCCTACGTCCCGGAGGGTTTTGGGTCCTCTCTGGTCCGCCAGTGAACTATGAGAACCGCTGGAGAGGATGGAATACCACAATTGAAGAGCAGAGATCAGATTATGAGAAATTGCAAGATTTGCTGACTTCAATTTGTTTCAAATTGTACAACAAGAAGGACGACATTGCTGTGTGGCAAAAATTATCAGACTACAGTTGCTATAATCATCTTGAAAGTCCTGACAGCTACCCGCCAAAATGTGATGACAGTCTTGAACCTGACTCGGCATGGTACACGCCACTTCGTACTTGTGTTGTGGTGCCAAATCCAAAGGTCAAGAAAGTACGTTTAGAATCGCTGCCCAAGTGGCCTGAAAGGTTGCATACCGCTCCGGGACGAGTTGTTGATGTCCGTGGAGGAAATGAAGCTTCTTTTAGACAAGATGATAGCAAATGGATTAAACGGGTGAAGCACTACAAGAAGTTGCTCCCTTACCTTGGGACTGATAAGATAAGAAACGTGATAGACATGAACACCTTGTATGGTGGTTTTGCTGCTGCTCTTATTGACGATCCTCTGTGGGTCATGAATGTGGTTTCTAGTTATGGGGCAAACACACTTCCTGTGGTATACGACAGGGGTCTCATTGGTACCTATCACGACTGGTAAGCTGCCACCATATTGTCATCTCAGTGCTCTTTCTTGAGTATGTCATTCATTGTCTTATTTATCAATTCAAAATTTCTATACATATCCTTACAGGTGTGAAGCTTTTTCAACTTATCCTAGAACATATGATCTACTTCATGTTGATGGCCTGCTCACGGCTGAAAGCCATAGGTATGTTTGGCTTTCGAAATCTAATCTTGATTGTAAATATTATTAGCATACTCCCTTCATCACAAAAAAACGAAAAAAAGAATACAAAAAAATTGTTTCGGAAACTTTTTGTTCCAAAAAAGAGTCTGGTTTTAAAATTTTCTTTAATTTTTATGTAAAATTCCTGCAAAGCCATGGCAAGCGGGGGTTTAATCATTTATCCCAAACAATCTTAGAGATAAGTGTTAATGGTTTCACTGATAATTATTTGTACCTTCATTAAGTTGATCAAAAATAAAAATGATGGAGCTGTTTCAAATGTGACTCTTTTTGGAACAAAGAGAGTATTTATCTATCTGTTCCATCTCTCAACCAGAGATGGAAAAGATTAACCTTAATTTGAATGAAATAACAGGCAGTCAAGTGAGACCCAGTGCCTAGATGTTTTTTTTGAGCCATTTCCTTCCACCTATCTATTAAAATACAATGCATTGACTGCACTCCATGATTGTGTAGATGTGAGATGAAGTATGTGCTTTTAGAAATGGATAGGATCTTGCGACCAAAAGGGCATGCTTTGATTCGTGAGTCAAGCCGCTTTGTTGATTCTATTGCGGCTATGGCTAAGAGGATGAGATGGAGCTGTCACAAAGAAAATACGGAAGACGGGGGAGAAGGAAACTCAAAGGTATTGGTTTGTCAGAAAGATCTCTCGTATTCTTCTTAGCAGAGTTCTCTACATATATGAAAGAGAACAGCATAGAAGAAGAGTCCTGTTTGGGTCAAGTCTCTTCGAATATATAAATTTTTCAGATATACCAACAGAAGAAAAGAAGAGCAAGTAGCTGCACTGGTCATAGTCAGTATTTACTCTACGAATAGTTTAAATCGTTTTTCTGGTTTTAGTAAAGAAAGTCTCATTAAGGAATATATATTCTTTCTAAGGGCATATATGACGTTAACCTTTTTGTGTTCAATGTTTTGCTTTTTTTGTTTTTCCTCACTATGCCTTATTCATGTAGTTTATGAAAATTGGAGCTCAAAGGTATAGTTGGACGTCATTTGTATTCCATTGTGGGAGCCAATTCGTAGTCCAAAGTTGGAATTTAGTGAAATGTTGGGTTTGACCTAAATCTAGCACAAATTAGGTTGCGGACTTGCCGTGATATAGCTTTCCTAGATGTGAAATTTTGTACAAATCCTTTAGGGTCCGTTTGGTATACGGAATTGATAGGATTTGGAATTGAATTGGGATTATAATTCCATGAGATTCAATTCCATAGAATTGGATTCAACAATTTCAATTCATTTTTTGCACTACCAATTCCAAATCCACATAATTTTTGTGCTACCAAACGCTAGAATTGGAATTGAGGTTCTCAATTTCAATTCCATAGTTTGAATTCCATGTACCAAACGGAGTCTTAGGGTCCGTTTGGTACACGGAATTGATGGAATTGGAATTGAATTTGAATTAAAATTCCATAGGATTCAATTCCATAAAATTGAATTCACCAATTCCAATTCATTTTTTGCACTACTAATTCCAAATCCACATAATTTCTGTGCTACCAAACACGAGAATTGAAATTGAAGTCCTTAATTCTAATTCTATAGTTTGAATTTCTTGTACCAAACGGGGCCTTAATATAAAATATGAGAGTTTGTGTATAAAATTGATATGTGTCACTCTTTAAACTCTATTTTTTTGACACCTAAGGTGTACACGCGTCATTCATATGTGGAGGTTTTTAACTTCTTCCCCAATTTAGCACCTCTTCTTCACCATAGGTAAGTATGTGATTGCTTCTTCGTGAAATTGATTTTCCCTTTCTTCAACCGATACTACCCCATATAAAAAACAAAAGATCATTCTACAGTTATTTCAATGTTTGAGGGCACTGGGCATACATTATTCTCTTATTTATATTTATACTCATGATCCTCAAGTGTGACTTCCATGAATTTTTGTTCTTCGGCTCTATTAATGTTTGTTTGAACCTTGGTCCGGGCAACAATCTTCCCAATCAAAACTGTTTTTGCCATAAAGATGTTGAGACATATTTTATAATATGGGTTGGAAATTTTTTTAGTGCAAACTGCCAAGATATTATAAAAGTAGTTGAGAAGAAGGAAAATATTTTTTGTGTACTGCACAGATTTTAAAAAACGGTGCTCGGGGGCTTATTATAAATTTTCATATGTATGAAACTATTTAAAAAACTGAACAGATTTTCGAAGGGCACAAATTTTTAAAAAAAAACATGTGGTGACAGACTCATTTATTATTTCATTTGTACGAATTTTAAAGAAATAAATAAGCTTAACCTTTGAAAAAGAAATGAAGAAGTTTTAAAATTTTTCTTAATGAAATAATACCAATCAAAACTTGATCATTCAAACATGGTTGGCTTTGAAGAACTGGAAATCGTTTTAAGTCAAACATGATCCGTGGAAAATCACTCCGATTCAAAGTTTTCACTTTTGTATCTCTGAAAAAACCCAAGAGCTTATCATTTGCGGTTGTTTTCAAACTTTGATAGTTGTTGAGAACATGCACATTTCGAATGGCATAAACACCATCCTCAGTGATTTGGTTTTCAAACTTCTTCTTTTCCGGTCGGTTGAGATGTGCATGAATCCTCGTTCCCTGTAGAAAAGGTAGATATTATGAGTATTTGAGTGTCACAATTGCAATTTGAGTGATACAATGTAAGTGATACAATTGATAAAAAATGTAATAAGTTCGTGAATACAATACATGCTCATCGTGAAAGACAATCTCCATGTAATCTCCGACTCTCGCCCACCTTGGAACAAAGTAAACACAAATAGCCATTAACTTGAGAATCCAAGATGTACGGTTGTTGTCAAGCTCGGAAATCGGAGTAAACATTGTCCTAGAATTTCTTTGAGAATTTTCGGCCATCACAAGGAAGCAAAAGAAGTCAAATATGGTGGAAGAAGGAATTGGTGTGTTTATATGGTGGAATTCAAAAGTATTCGGGCATAGTGAATATATAATGGCTTTGGGAATCAAGTAATTGAAAGCACATTAAATGCTTAGATTGTGCAAATCTATTTAAGTATTTGATTTGATGTAAAGTGTGGTTTAAAGTTGATGTGTCACTTGGCTCAATAAAGCATCATTTGTTTACTTTATAGAGCCTCACACCTAGTGGATTAGACCCTAAAAATAGCTGCCAAAATTGGACTCATTTTCGGCCCAAATATACGCAGCCCAGCCGGCCCGTAAAATGGGCGGGAAGTCGGGAACACTGTTCACAATGTCCTCTTAGCATTGTATATAGTAAGATGCTTTCAACAAATTGTAATCAGGAAGATAATTTTAGAATGGTAAGAGCAAATTGGAGCAAATTGTTGCAATTGTCTTTAGATATTTAGATAAGACTCCATAATATATAGTTCAACCGAAATGCCAATAACAAATAGTTCATGACTTCATGTTATTGCTTATTACCATTTGCTTCAAGCTTTAGAGACAAAAAGGCTAGATAACAACACCAATCCAAATGTACCATCATAGATTACAAAATCAATACATATTTAGAGAATAGACCAAGCCAAATAGTCCATGCAATTACATTGGTTCCATAAAATGAATCCAACATATTTTTTACGCTAAAAAGAAGGAAATAAACTCACTACACATTTCTAAACAAAGTAAAACCCAAAAGAGGTTAAGCACTGGATAATCTCAAATACAGGTTAAGAACTAAAAAATAAAGAATTCAATATAAAAATATAAATATGAATTCAATAATCTTTAGTAATTCTCAACAAACAACACAAACAAAAATATCTAAAAGCACCATTCAAGCTAAGGTTAAATCATCACTGGCTTGCTTTTGATAAATCGAACGGTGGTATTTTCATCACATATTTTTTTCAACAATTGTATATGATCTTTTGTCAGCATTATTAAAACCTCAATAGAATAAAGTCCATACATTTAAGAGAAGAGGTTTTCATAATTTGAATATATGAAAGCAACAAAAGGGAGAAGTTCATATACCTTATTTATCACCCATTATTTAGCTTGGTAACCACTAACGACGTATGTGCTTGAAACGAAGAAACAACATCTTGTGCGAAGTTCATTGAGGCATTTTCTCCAAACAATCATCCAAATCCTTATTGCTCGACTCTGAACTTTAAGCATCCAAATACAACATTGGCAACATTGATAAAGTTGAACAAAAGAAAGTAAAGACAAATCAAAATTAAATGAATTATGAAGTATTTATATGTTCCTTTTTTAGCAAGATATTGTGTTCGTGAGGTTGTGGCTAAGCAGGTGTCTCCTCTGTTCCTTCTTCACCGCCTCAACTCACTACGGCCTCTACTTGCTGATGCACTGTTGCAGCACTGCAGCACACCAACAGATTCCCATTAGCAGTTTTCCCATCTCCATTGCTTTTCTACCATTTCAATTTCAAAACCAATTCCCAATTATTAACAAATATATTAAGAAATTCAAACAAAAGTTAAGGGAGACCCACTCACATTAGAATGAAATATGAGTAGTGCATCAAACTGACTTTCTGAAACCCTCAATGAATCACCATCGGTCTCCAATTTCTGAAGATCCAATGAGTTTTTTATAAAAAGAACTTAGCATATAAAAAAGAAGTGTTACCTCTTTTTTGAATCTGTCTTGTAAGTGCTGCACTGGTATCATCCATGGGCGAGGCTAGGCTCAAAATCCTAGGTCGGACTTGTTGTCACCTCTGCTAGCTTATGCCCCATCGATGTATCGTCAGATTATAAAGTCGGTGGCTAGAGTTCCAAACCCTAGCCTTCACGCCAAGAATCGATCTATCCGCATTCCACCATAGGTGTTGCCTTAGATGGTTGAGGGTCAAACAACGACATGGGGATGCTATGTGACCTGATATATGTTGGTAAAGTTTCCTCTCTACGTCGTGTTGTATATTTCTGCCTACGACATGCTTATCTCGTTGTATATTTTCACCTGCGCCATTCTGGATGATAGTTTTAAACAAAAATTAGTGAATACTTCCACAAGTAAGAGCTCAGTAAATTTTGTATCAAACTTTATTTCCATTTACATACACCAATCAAATATGGTATAAAAGTATGAAGTTGAATAAAATTCGAAGTATGCAATGACAATAGAATAATATCTTAGCTCATCCCCCACACCATAATCCTCACAAACAATCTGCTTTACAAAATATGTTGGCAGGAGACACCAACAAGTTACAATTTTTTTCTAAATTGCAGTAATTTTCTCCATAAATAGACAATTTTGAAAAATCAAATAAAATTGATAAATCATCAAATTGTATAATATGTTAATAAGCAGACATGGTGTTTCAAATTGAGATTGACCTTTAGATATAAAAAAACACATCCTACAGTATATTATTTTAAAAAGTATCCCAATTAAGGGGCATCAAGCAACCATATCTCAACTCTGAAGACGATTCAAGTTGTGTGGTCATTTTTTCTTTCATCCCAAAATTCAATGCAATAATCCTTTGTTAACCATTAAACATTGGTTGGAAGACATGATGGAAACTCTCCCTCAAAAACTTTGGTTGAAATTATTAATCGGAACAATTATATTGGAATTTACCAAAAGAAAGACAATCTAGGAAAACGTAGCTAACTAACGTATATTGAAGAACAATTAAATAACAATAAAACATATCTAGATGTTAGTCTAACCCCTAAATGTTTACATGTAGAACAAATCTAGATAAGTTTGGTAACAATTATCAAACTTATGTAGATAAGTTTAACCCCCATATGGTGTCATTATCTACATGTTAGTTTAACCCCCTAATGTTTACATGTCGAACAAATCTAGATAAGTTTGGTAACAATTATCAATTTTATTAAGTAATGAATTTGCTTCTAATTTTTTAAAACCTCCAAAGTCTCATACTCTGAAAAAATCAGAGATGGGAAAACACACAAACTACTTGAATTTAGATTTTATGAGTGATGATACATTGGCTCACTTTTAAACACCTACATATTGAACAGACAAACTAATTTCTTGAGAATGAAATCGAGATGAAAAAAGATATTTAAGGTGTGATCCACCCCATGCACCCATGGTTGTAAGTTAATTTTTTCTACAATTTCACTTGACTATAATTTCTGTCTATATATCATTAGCAGTGTTAGTCAAATATTTACACAATGAACACAAAAGCAAATATCAAAAGCAGGCATTACATGCAATCTGATAAGGTCCTTATTCATTCTCATTTTATAGATAAAAAATGATTCCTAGAATTTTAGAAAATTAATTTGTATTTAAAAATATTTAGTTAAAAATTAGAATTTAGGAAAATTATACTTAAACATAAAGATGGAATGAAAAAAATAAAAAAGAAAACAATTTAAAAAATTAAAGAGGAAACCTGGATGGCTTAGATGACCACAAATAGTATGAATTGGGACGAATCGTGCAAATAGGGTAGACTAATTTGCTTGTCTGTTGCAACAAAAAGATCGGTACCCTCGAAGAATATCCCTGATTTGCAGCGGCCAAGTTACAGTCCAAAAAAATTCCATCTGGTCTCTGGTTCGAAAGTTGGGGAAGGAGCGAATGAAATTTCCGTCATTTGGTACTTTGTAGAGTTTCCACCGGTGAAGAAGAGACGACTTACCCAAATATGAAGTTGGATTATACATAAATACAAAAAGAATCAAAAATTCGAAACATACCTAATTTGGAGTCTTTACTTAGTGAAGATGGAAGAAAGATACATGTTTTGGACTGCACTGACGATAGATCCGGGATGAAGAAGGAAGCCTCTACTTTTACTCACTTTAATCCTTGAATATATGGAAGCAATCGCGATTTTCATGGGGTTCCTTCTTAGCCAATTTGCCTGGTATGGAAGGCTGATGTAATTAAAATAAAAGGGCAATACTAGGGTATGGGTACCCCAACTGTACACCAAACCAACACAGACACACACAGACACATTTTGTGTCTGTGTGTGTCTGTGTTGGCTTTGGTGTACACTTGGGTATCCCATGTTGGTGTACCCCTAGCTTAATTCAAAATAAAAATATGTAAGTGACACGTGTCATAATTCTAAGCAATCAACTCTCAAATTTTATATTAAAGGATTATGTTAAAATGATGTGTGAAAAATAGGGAACTCAATAGTATAAGTTTTATATTTCTCTAAAAATATTTGGCAGCCTAAACTGTGAAAATCAGACACGTATTCTACTAATATACAAAGGTAAAGTGAGAAAATGAATAGTAACTTTTCCCACCCAAATTTACACGGGTATGGTTGAGTTCAAAATGCTGACTAATGATATGGGTAATCGCGTATGGATGGGCATTGATGATTTGAAAAGTCCAATCCTAGAAAAGAGTGAAAAAATAAATTTTCACTTTGGTCAGTGAAAAAGACTTGGTACATTAATTAGTGGCTTCTTCTCTCATTAATACCAAATGCTTCTCTGTCATTCAATACCAAGAGCTTTAGTGTGAAAAATTCTCTCACCCAATCTCAAAAAAATCTCTTAATATACAAAGGTGAAAAGAAAACATGAACAATGTTTTAATGGGCTTCAGGTTGGGTTAACGAGTTAGGTATTAATTCTCGGATATCCAAATGTGTAAAGAAGAAAATGGTCCAATTTATGAAATGGGTCTTACGGTCGGGTATTCAAATGCTTTGGGAAAAGCAATTTTTATCTCGGGTATCCAAGCACCTAAAGAAGACATGGAGAGACGAAATTTTATGCTTTTAATGGAATGCATTTAAGAGTCATGCCGATTGGATATCCGTGAGTGTAAAGAAGACACGGGGAAACGAGATTTTATGCTTTTAATGCAATGCATTTAATGTACTTAAGAGGCATTCCCACTGGGAGACGTAATTTGACGGCTTGGCCATATTTTTCACGTGTTCCCAAGTAAAGAAATAATTACTTCTCACCACTTCACAGAAAAAATTTATTATTTAAAAACAACCCTTCTTTACACAACCATTTCTCAATTCTCCACCATTAGAGCTCTTCAAAATTCCCATCTCAATATGGCTTCCAAACGCATTTTTCCCGGTCTATTTACCAATCTTGATGACCTCCAAAGGGACCAAAAGAACATTGATATTCATGTACGAGTTGTATGTGATCTCTCTCTAAAAAAATAACAATGATTCCAGGAATTTTTTAGGCCTTCAATTTTTGCTCATGAAACAAATAAATAACAGTGGAGGAATAAGTTTTTAGAAATGTTTTCTTGGTGTGGAACTCAAACAAATTATTATTTTTTTGGATATTGCATTCAAATAAATGTACAATCTATTCTTTAAACATATTATCTTGCTTTGTTGATAATAGAAAACTCGAATTCATTGCTAAATCAAAAAACCATACAATAACCGTTACAAAGCACAAAATGTGGAAGGTAGTGCCTATGAGATAAAAAATTTCTTGATCCATGACAACTATCAAACAGTGAAAACAACAAGGCATCCAAGTTATGAAAATATATTTTTGTTAAAATTTATTTTTTTGTTATAAATTTATTCCAGTATTTTTTGTTATAAATTTATTCAAGTTATGAAAATTTATTTTTTGTTGAAATTTTTGTAACTTTTTTAAAAATTGAACTTTAATTTTATATATATATATATATATATATATATATATATATATATATATATATATATATATATATAATATTAATTCCAAAAAATATTTTTGAAAAGAGAAAAGCACTTCATTTTTTTACTTTGAGCCACACACCCAAAACTACATTAATGGTGGACAACTTGAGAATCTCTGAATATACAAAGTGAAGGGGAAAGATGAACCATGCTTTTTCCCGCCTAAAGTTATGGGTAAGGGGTTGGGTATTAATTTTCAAGCATCCAAATATGTAAATTAGAAAATGGGTCCAATTCGTGAAATGGGTATTACGGTTGGGCTCTTAATTCTTTGGTACCCGTGGAGCAATAAAGGCTAAAAGAGAAATTTATTGAGCCACGAACCAAAAGTACAATGCACTTAATGCACTTAAGAGGCACGCCTATTGGGAGACGAAATTTGACGGCTTGGCAACTCTTTTCATGTATTCCAATGTAAAGACATCATTAATTTAAGGGAAAGTGTAAAAGTTTTTGAAAAAGAGTAAAAGTTTCTGGAAAAATGTAACTTAAATAAATATTTTCTGGGAAAGTGTAAAAGTTTATGTGAAAGAGTTAAAGTTTATGGAAAAGTGTAACTTAAATAATTACTTTATGGGAAAGTGTAAAAGTTTATGGAAAAGAGTTAAAGTTTATGGAAAAGTGTAACTTAAATAAATATTTTATGAGAAAGTATAAAAGTTTATGGGAAAGATTAAAAGTGTATGGGAAAGTGTAATAATTTAAATAAATATATATGAGAAAGTAATAGTTTATGGGAAAAGGTAAAAGCATAATATGACTTTACACTGAGAAGCGTGTGATGGGGCTTTGATAATGTCGAATGCTTTGGATCTGTTTTCATTAAAGAAACACCGCTTTTTTAAGTTTATTTTCAAATCACATCTCATCCTCAAGCTTTGTGTTTGACTTGACATTTTAATTGATTATGTTATTGTACGCTATTTTTGTTCAACATTTATTTTAACATGATTTAGAAATATAGTATACAAGGAAGTCTTTCAAAACCTTTAATTTTGTTTTTTTGTCTTCACTATACATTCCTCAATATTAGTATATAATACTTTTAATGTTTATATTGAATACAATTTTGTTGTGTTGTCTTTATATACACTACAAATTTATTTTTTATTTTCTTTCACTGACTCAAAATACTGTCCGTGCAACGCACGGGTTAGAGAACTAGTACTAACTACACAGAGTAGGAAAACTTTTAATTTGGGTAATTTACCTAAATAGGACTAAAGCATTATGACTTTCTCAATATAGGACCATATGTTTTTATTTTCCAATATAGAACCATTGGTCATTATTTATTAGTCATTATTCAACTAAATGTCCAACATCATTAGGACATTATTCTTCTCACTAGTCATTATTAAGTCCTATTTAGGGAATAAAAAAGTTTAAGTCCTACATTAGGAAATGACTTATGTTTTAGTCCTATTCAGTGCCACTTTCACATGATTTAACTATTTATTTAATTAAAATAAAAATGATATTTTTTTATGAAAACAATCCATTTCCCCCTCCCTTCTAGCTATAAATAGAGGCACGGGGTGATTAGTTTAGGGCACTTGATCTTAAGAGAGTGTTGGGAGGACAACGAAGCGTTATAGCGAGGAGGTACTTCTGAAGTTCTATTCATCTACCTTTCCGTTAACAACATCGAAATTGTTCCCATTGACCCTAATCTTTAGTCATATATCTCATGTTAACATATTTTTACAAAATGGGTCAAACCACTTAATAAGGTCGGATCGTTTGTGTCCAAGTGGATGAGCCTAGAAATAACATTACCACAACGTGCGCACGAGAACCCAATGATGACCCCGTGGGTCTAGGGTTCACTTTTAATTACTGGACCTGAGGTCACGGGGAGGTATCCGAAGTAAAATTACGTATGACTAGTGCGGGGTTCCAACAAAGTCACGTCTTAGTCTCTGATCTTAGGTTAACTTAGGTAGGTCAAGAGTTTTCTAAATGTCCCTAAGTATCTGTTATAAAGTGAAGAATGTTTTCTCAACGAATTAAAGTATTTGAAGATGATTTATCTAAAATGCTTTGAAATATATTTACATGTTATATATGTCTATTTGTCATTGCCACTCAGCTTATGCTCAGCGTGTAGTGTTTAACTACACGCATGTACTAGCAAAGAGGTCAACTGTTGAGGAGGGAAGGCAAGGATGTGGAGGCCGTGCCATTGAAGAAATTCTGCTTTAATAACTAATAATGAATAAATCCCTCGAACTTACTTTACTTTGGTTTGGGCTTGAACCCCAAGTTGTATTTATTTTTGAATGCTATTACTCTTTTTGCTTAGGTGAATAATCATTATGCGCTTGATTGTCGAAATAAGAATTTATTCTAAATAAAGAATGTTTTACTAAGCAAACCTACTTTTACCAGCACTCTGGTCTGGATGACTCGAGTCACCCAGGATGGGGTGTTACACTTTCTATAATAGAATATTATGGGAAGATGAAGAAGCTATGGGATGCTCTGGCGGACTTTGAGCATCCTCCAGTATGTGTATGTAAGAAATGCATGTGTGACTTTCCGACTAAGCTTGTACAAATGCGTGAAATAGAATGCGCACATCAGTTCTTGATGGGGTTGAATGATGTCTGGTACAGAACCCCGCGGTCAAACCTGCTGGCATAGGAACCCGTACCACCCGTCATGAGAATCGATAACATTTTGGTTTAGGGTGAGACGGCCCATAACTCCATGCAAAAAAAACAGAAGGGAGTTATGTGGCTATTTCCGTGTTTGCGGTAAAGAATAAGGCTGAGCTAAGAGAGCTTGTGTGCTCTCATTGTGGCGTGTCAGGACATGAGATTGATGGCTGCTACAAGCTATCTGGATATTTCGAGGGCTGGGTTTTTCAAGATCAGAATGGGAGAGGAAAAGAAACCAACCATGGAAGGGGTCGCGGTCTAGGATGTGGAGCCGGACGGTTGACTGAAGGTGCTAGACGAGCAACCATCGGTGGAAATCATGGTGGAGCTAGTGCACACCATGTAGGGGGTGCAGAAGAAAAAGGACCTTCTCCGCTGCCCAATTGTGATGATCTGACCGTATAACAGTGGAATGCGGTTCGTCATGCGCTTTCGCTGTCTCCATCAGACACAAATTTGAAACTTTCAGGTATTCCTGTATCACCACGTTGGGTTGTTGATACTGGTGCGTCCAATCATATCACAAATGATCTTT